AGGAATGATAATTTGATATATATGTTTTGTTCCTGGCAAAATAACAAATATACAGAACTATTTATAGGTAAACACGAAATATAAACATTTTATGAAATTATCAGATTCTAACAGAATTTCAACAAAAAAAACTATCCTACAATAATGGGAATGGGTGTAGCTACTGTTGTAGGTAGAAAAATGGGAAGGTAGGATATAGACGGGAATTTAATGTGTAATGGAATTAATATGTACGCAACGATTAACCATTGCTAACAAAAAAACAATTTTGAGTGGAGTTCGATTGATAGTGTTTCTTTGTCAACAATATGTATGTCATATTATGATAAAATAATTACATATGCATTAAACATTTTTTTAATAATATTTGTTTAATATTTTACCTTCTACTTTTCCTACGTTTTTTCAGGGTTTTCCCATGTTTTTCTCGGTTTTTCCCATTTATTGTTTTTTTTTTTTTGTGTACAAATTTTCTACCAGTAATTTTGTTCTGATTTACGGTGATAGCACTTTTTCTAAAAGGAAATCTGACTGGAGAGGTGGTTATATTATATCACGCGCGCGCACAAAAAAAACCTCCGTAGTTTCTGACAAAAAATTAAAAGACGTCGTTATGACAATTTACTATGAATTCAATAATATTCGTCTAAAAATTTAGAGCGGACTTCGATTACACATATTTTGAAGGGCCATAATATTTACTATTTTAAAATAATAAATTTCGTACATTTTTCCGTTTTTCCTCGTTTTTCATATTCATTATGAAAACCTCTGGGAAAATCAAAAAATATCCTCCTTAAAGTACCATCCCCCAAAATTTCCTTTCAGAAAAAGGGCTATACTTGAAAATCGGAGCAAAATATTTTGGTAAAAGTTGTTCACAGAAAAAAAATTAACATCTCTATAAAACCAATACATAAGAATCGGGCGTTACGGTAAGAGTAATTTCAGCATGAGGTTATTCGGCGGAGTGATTTTATTTTATTATTTTATTTAATTTATACAATTATGTATAGTAAATTTGTATAATAGCTATCGGATATTCCCTTTTCTTATCCAATATCAAAGAAATATTGAACACTCTAATTAAAGCAATTTAAATAAATCAATATAACAAATAAAACAGTCAGTTGATGTATTATCCAGTCGACCAGTTCTTATTTCATAACTATCGCAATTTATTTGATTATTTAAAAGGGATCGAACTAAGACTAGTGCTATTATTAGCATTACTCAATAGAACCTAACTATGATTGGGAGAAAACGGGTCGCGCCCGTTAAAATAAAATCCATTTAGGTTCCTGCTTATAATTATCATTAATTTAACACCTACATAGTGTAGATAGGTAATTGTCTAATATTTTGGGAGTGTTTTTATATATTACATTATTACCTAATGTGATATGGATAGTTAAATTAGTGGTTCCCAAGTTTTTTTATTCTACGCCACTCATAAATTTTCAAATATCTCGTACATCCCCTCTCTTTAAATTAGATTGGACTATTAGAATTTGGACGACTTCATTTTTTTTAAATGGAGTTTATAAAATAACTACATAAACGTATCTATATTATACATTATACAACTAAAATTATTTGTTTTCAATTTTACTGATTGTAAAATAGCATAATTATTTTATCAAAAAAATTATCGTTATTTTATCATCACTATATACTCCCCCGTGCAGTATCTAAATGTCAGTACCTAACCTTTCCCTCGGTTTGGAACCACTGAATTAAATAATAAATACCTAGTAAGAAATTAGGTAGGTAAATATTCTGAGTATTCAACCTATATTTATTATCAAATCATCATTTTAATAAGTCATAGTATACAATATATTATAATACCTATAGGGAGTGCTGCTACTGAGATTTTATTATGACGTTTTGTTTTTAGATATTATCATAGGTACTTGTTTATTAAAAAAGTTTATTAAAAACTATATACCTATATTATAAGTAAGTAGATAGATAAAAATAAGTGTTAGAAAATATTATAATAATATAATATCAAATCTCAAATACTTCAAGTATTAAGTACTTAAAACGTAGGTACTTGATGTATATTTGCCCTGTTAAATTATATTAAACGTAGTCCTCCTGTTTTAATTTAATGCAGTTGATAAATGCCTAGTTAAAAATCATAATTTTGTATTATTAATTAGGTATTATCAACCACTGATACAGGTACCTGTAAAAATCTGGAATGTACATTGTACGTTCCAGTATTGTACAAGTCTGGAACGTAAAAATCTTTCCATTCAAGAATGAAGGGTTTTACAGATATCGAAATCTGAACTGTATGAAACCTGGAATGTATAAATCTGGAAAGTAATGTTAATACCTACTCAGTGTCACCAACTTCGATTAAAAAAAACAAACAAACATAGGTACCTACTTCGCACATTAAGTGGGCCACTGTTATAGATAACAGGCACGTCACGTCCTTAGGGGGAGCGAGGGAGGCAATCCCCCCCATAAGCCGTGTGATGTTATTTTTTCTTATACAAAATATCCATAATTCTTAAGTACAGATACAACTGGTTTCAAATACCATAAAGATGATTCCAGATCTTGAAAATAATTTGATTGAAACAAGAATGAAACACTTCTTATTTATAAATTTTACTAAATATTCTTTCAAGAGTGAAATAGAATTATGGAAAACTAAGTGGGAACAATCAATTTGCAAAATTGTAATAAAATAATATATTTTTAGAATAAAAATTAGAGATAATTAATTTAAATTTTGAGTGTATCGAAGAATATACCAATAGGATTTACAATGTTTTTTTCATTACAAAAATGTCTACTAGAAATTTTGATTCAATAAGTAAGAGTAGCACCTTTTTTGAAAGAAAATATTGTCATACTGACTAGATAGTACTTTTGGAAGGTAATTTTTTGATTTTCCAAGCAATTTTCATAATATCAGGAAAACCCAGGATAAAAAGTAAGAAAAACGGGAAAATGTACGAAAATATTTCTTTTATTATTTTAAATTTTGTTTTTTGTTGTAATTCAGTTAAAAATATTCGTAGATTAAAAATTTGTTCAGAAAACTTATATTTGCCTTCTATTGATTGACGTGGTAAAATTGTTGAGCAATTTATAGACATTTTAATTTTGATAGTTTTGCACGTAATTTTTATTCGATAGGTACTCTATGGGTAAAATATTTAAACAAAAAAAAAAATACTTGAGAATTTAACAAGAGGTTCATTAAAAGTCGTAATTTGTGGTAAAAAAAATGTTTAAGCAAAAGCTAACTGGATTATCTCTTTTAAATATCTAACGAAATGAAAACATTAATATAGAAAATATTGTTGATCAAACCACTTGAAAAACGCTGCTTAAAATAAAAGTATTTTGGACTTAATCATTTAATTTTTATTAATTATTATTATTTTAGCTTCTGAGAGGAGCAAAGAAGCTTATGGTTTTACAGATTTACAGATTTTTTTCCGTGGACAACTTTTCTACCAGAGAACTTACTCCAATTTTTAGGTGTAGCAATTTTTCTGAAATCAAATTAGCGTGAGAAGATACATTAGAGAGGTACCCCCTTACCCTTTTAAGGAAACTTCACTTGGGAGGTATTTTAAAGAGATTATTTTTCGATTTTTTTCCAGTTTTCTCAGAAATATATACTTTGATATAAATTGGACTGTCCATTAAATAAATAAAATTAATTAATTAATTAAATGTGAAAAACTAGGAAAAAACATAGATAAGCCAAAGAAATCAATTCAACACATTTAGAGCCTATTTAATTATTTTACTATAATATGGCATATAGATTGTTGACAAAACGTTATTAACTGAATTATGCTCAGAATCGTTTTTTCTTAAGCAATAGTTTATCGTTGCTTACAGGTATACATTAAATTACTTATAAAAGTAGCTGCATCCGTCCCCATTATCCTAGGATGTTTTTTTGTTATTCATATTATCATAATTTTAATTATTATTTATTTAATTTGAAAAAAATTAATTTAACTTAAATTTTACTGCATTTGTATCTGCAGTCTTCTAAGTTAATATAAATTAAAATGATAGTAGATATAAAGGTCTTAAAGCTTGATTGACCAAATCGGTGGTATTCATCCTCAATGTAATTGATCACCAATATTAAATTTAATTATTCCCCCCAAATAATCAAGGTCTGGAGACGATTCTGGTAGGTGAGAAAACTATAAAATTGTATACAATCTAAGTTAAAAATATTGTTAGGGAGATTTAATGTACAGCAGTACGCAAAGATTAACCATTACTAACAAAATGATAAAATAGTTGTTCACAAAAAAAAATATAAACGTTATTATAAAACCAATACATTCCTCACTCCACTCAGAATCTGAAATGTAACAAAAAAATGTTCTGCCGTTTTTCTATTTGAGCAATATTCCTAGTAAAAATCTATTTACAAAAATTAAAAACAATGAAATCAAAACGCCATGGAGTGCCATAAATATTTACTGTTTCACCTATAATTTTTTTTCGAATTTTTCCAAATTATAATAAAAGAATAGATTATTTCTGTGATTTTTTGCTCCTTTTTCTTTTGTTTTTTAATAGACTTAAGGCCTTATTTTTCTCATTGTCATAATAACAAAATAATTTGTTTACAATAAAAAAATAATACTGTTACACGTTTATGATATAAAATGTTCAATATTGGTAGACAGACCAAATAAATTACAATCTACAGCTGAACATGAACAACATTCGTTAATAAAGAAACAGAAACGAACAGTTTATCCAAAAGCATATTGCCAAGATTTAAAATTTTAAAAAATCAACAGACCACTACAATAATGGCTCTGATAATAATAATAATCAAAATAATATTACCTACTGTTGAATTGCAAAAAAACTCTTAAACATTTTAAAACTACGGATTTTAATTTTCTCTGTAATCTTATTGATAATTAGAGAAAATCAAAAAAAAAAAAAAACGTAAAATCACAATTGACAAATTTAATATGTTACAATTTCATTATTTTACACACTCTATTCCCCAGTATCAGCTATTTTACCGAAAATTTGAATACAAAACAGATTTAACACAAATAAGTTTATAATAATTGTAAACCTTAATTATTAAAGTAGCTACACAAATTGTTATTATTTTATTTATTGTCTAGATTATATAATGGAAAACTACTTAGAAGTTATCAAATATAAATAATAAATATGTAATGCATAAAATATAAATAATTTTATACCTAGTGAATTATTAAGACAAAGTAAAAAAAATTATTAAACTAATATTTGTTTGTAGTTATTGGAAACCAACATAATTTTATTCCACAAACATTCAGTAATTTCATCAGCAGTTCTTTCTTCCACGTTAAACTTAAAGTAAATCAATTTCTTTGTAATTTTATTATAAAGATCTATTAAAAACAGTTAAGAAAAAAAAAATTATATCAAACATTATTTTTTTGTTTAATATCATGTAATATACTCGACACACGTTAAGAGCATTATCAGTCGCATGGGCAAAACAATTTCCTCCACTACACCGCTCACCATAGTAAGCTATTATTACTACACAATATATAACAGTTAAATGATAACAAGATGTTTGAAACATCAGAGCCGGCTGCACACAAACGAATGTTAAACCACCCACCACCCAGTCATGCTCTAATGTACGTCGAGTATAACAGACCTGTGCAAACATTTAAAACAATAACGCAAAAGTGTATAATAAAATTTAAATGTAAATAATAACTTTAGTACATTTATTATTTTAATTAAAGTGTAGGGTTTTTTTTTATTATTGACAAGACTTGAACTAAAATATCTAACTAAAAAAAAATATAATACAGCATGTAGTAACAATTATTTTGCTTGTTGTAAGATACATAAGAACAGTAAAAATATTATTATTTTAATTTATAATAATATATTATAAATAAAAATGATTACCATTGTAAATGTGTGAAAACCATTGTAGCTGTTACAAAACCCCATATTTCTTTTTTTTTTTAAAATGCAAGAGCTCTAATTTAAAATGAACAGTTTTTCAGATTATTTAAGATAGTACTAAAAACACATATTCATAATAATACAAATTAAATTAATGAAAAATAACAAAATACATTTTGAGTTCTTACAAAATAAACAATAGATTATTGTTCTACATTTTCAGGTATTATGATTTCAAATTAAATTAAGTAAAACCAAAAAAATATCATAACTATGTTCCTTAATTCATCTGTAATGGTATCACTGAAAAAAACAAAATATCTTCAATAAATTAGTAAATTAAGTGAGTGATAAAGCTATCTTAGATGCATAGACCTTATACTAATAGACGAGCCTTTTTTACATGTAGAATGGAATAGATAGAGGGCACTATTCACATGTGACTTGTGACTTTTACGTGGTATTATTGTACATTATGCTACACATACAATCACAATACTGGCGTGATTATACTACAAACCACTATATTATATTTGAGCAGTTACTACCTCTGCTACTCTATAGGTAAGACCTGTCTATTAGTATAAGATCTATGTTTAGATGCCACTAGTGCACGGGTCAAGAACCTGTGGCTCCAAAGTCACATGCTGCCGCTTAATATGCAATCTAGAGCTCTTTGGAAAGTGCATCAATATCTAGACCCATAAAATATATTAGTTTTTTTTTTTATCTTAACCACTGCGGTTCTTTAAAAATCATGGTTTTACAATTTTTTTTTTAAAAAAAATAGCTCATTTGCACGAAAAGGTTTTGACATTATCATTGAAAATTGTTATTATTTTAGGAATTAAAAAAGTTAGGTTCATAACAGACTCAGGTAAATTTGAGTGTTTTATAAATATTTTATTATTATGTTTTGAAAAAAAGTTGTTGAACAAATCAAAAACTAATCCTAGAAACTAAATCAAATTTGCAAAGATCGGTAATTATCTGATAATTTGGTAAATTATAAAAATAATCGATAATTGATATCTAATTATTAATTAATTTAGAGCAAAAAATAAAATGTATAAGGTATGTAGGTATAGCATGTAAAGCATGTAAGTAATACTATGTATAGAATCAAAAAGCGTTATATTTATTGTTAGAAAAAATTAATGTATAAACAAATATACATAAGTTACAATAAAGTTTTAATTGAATTTTAAAAAAAATTTAAATTTTTGTTATAAAGTAATAATTTTGTCTATTTTCAGAAATAATAATGTTATCACATTTGTTTATAATATTATCTTGGATAATAAGGATTAGATAATTATCAGTGAACCCTACTTCTAACTATAATATAAAAAGCTTTGAAAACACTTCATCAACCCAGAAAAAAAAATTAATTAATAATATCACACTCACATCATTTTTCTTTGTTACTTATAAGGACCTATTTTAGCTTACATTATCTATTTTAACTCAGTTACCAAAATTGAATAATTTGTACAATTTTGAAGTATTTAAATAGTGTGATTCTACAAATTATAAATTACTTGTTACTAAATATATATATAAAAAGGATACATCCTTGTTCTGTCGCATTAACATTATTTCCAAAATCAAAAAATATCCGTAAGATATTTTTATAAGTTAAAAATGTTTTTCTGAAACAAAATAACATGTATAAAACCAACACATTCAAGTGTGTAAATTTAATATACTAAAATCTTACTTTATAAGTTCATAAATTTCTAAATTAGCTGTACTGCTTTTCATTTGATAATAATTTTTAAAATCAAACTCTATTGACTGCAGTGATATTTGTAGAGACTTAACAGTATTTTCCAAATTTTCCTAAAATAAAACATTAATACAATGAATGCTATTTCACACATTTATTTAAAAGTGAATATTAAATATAGGTAAAAAAGTTTTCAACTGATTTTTAATTTCCTAATACATTAAAATTTTCATTTAACGGTCACCAAGGTAAGGTTAGGTTAGGAAATAATAATTGTTATTTATAGGTGGCCATGCTATAGAGGTGACTGTTAACAGAAATGCAATACGAAAAAACGATTCAGAGTAGAGTTCAGTTGATAGTGATGCTTTGTCATTTTGTAGTAAAATAATTAAATAGGTTTTATATATTTTCTTTAATAAAATTAGTTTAATGTTATACTAATTTTCCCAGTATTTCTACGTTTTTCCTGGTTTTTCACATTTGATGAGAAATTTCCTGAGAAAAAATCGAAAAATGACCTCTCCAAAATACCTCGCTAGTAAAATTTTTTTTTAGAAACTTTGTTATCATTAAAAGTTAAATTGAAAGAAAAATTGATGGTTGAAAAGTTGTGCACAGGTAAAAAAAATAAGGCCGTAATATATTTTAACTAATACCTACATTTCTTATATTTTCCTGTTCTTTTTTTCGGTTGTTCAAATTTGATGAAAAAACTCTTGAGAAAATCAAAAAATGACCTTTTTAAAGTACCTCCCCACGCCGATTTTTTTTCAGAAAACGTGCTACATGTAAAAACTCAAGCAAGTCTTTTGGTAGAAAAGTTGAGCATAGATAAAAACAAAAAAAAAAAATGAAACATCTATGTAAAACTTTAAGCTTCTTTGTTTCACTCAGAATCTAAAAATAACATATAATTTTGAGAAAACTGTCTTTATGGCATTTTCCATTTACACTTATCAATTTCTATCTAATAAAATTAAAATCACTAATAACTCATTCAATCTTAGCAGCTGTAAAATAACAAGGGTATCTAGGGTAAGATACTTACTCCTAATCTTTGACCAACATATGAAATGGCATCTGCACATAAAAAATACGACTATGTGTCTAAGGGCAATTATATACAAGTTATATTATTTGAGGAAAATAATATTATTAGAAACTATGCGTACTGTATATTTATCTCTCTAACAATCTATATATAAGTATGGCATAATAGCTTGGGGTTGGCCATTAAAACCATTAAATATACAACAAAATACAATTTTTTGGATGTTTTAATAAAAGTACTGTAGACAGATTTACCAAAATAAATTATAAAGATTTGGGGGTTTTACTGGTTAAGTTACTCTACAAAAAATTTGCCATTTTGTTTATAATAAAAAAGTTCTCGATAAGTAATAATATATCAAAGTATAATTATAAAGGTAAGCATATGGTAACAATTAATTAATTATAGGTACCGTTTATACAGATGGTAAATATTGTTTTTTTATTTTTGTTTTTATTGGTATAAGTATGACTGCAGAGTTGCATATAAGTTAATAATTAAATGTTAAGGTTACAATGAAAAGTTTAGGAACCACTAACCAATAGTCCTGTAATTTTTGATTTATATTAAAAAAAGGTATCCTACTCATTTATTCAAAATAAAAATTATAGTATTATTAGGTAATAGAAAATATAAGGAAGGATAACATTGTAATACTCATTCTTACTTTTGTCTGAATTTGTAAAGCCAGGTCAGCCATTACTTTGGCACGTTCATCCTCAATAAAAGACAGCTGTTCTTTTTTCTGAGTTATATTATTGTTTGTTTCGTTTAATGTAGCAATTGCTTCTAAAAACATGATAAAATTGATCGTTGAATAGAAGACCTTAAATTCAATAAATAAATTTACTTACCCTCATATTGTCGATGAGATTGATCAATACAATTTAACAGGTTCACAAAATCTTCTGAAATTACTGTTGTTAAAGATTCCTGATACATAAATAAGCTAATGTCATCAATGATGTTTGCAAACATTTTAATGTTAAACACTTTCGTGAACTAAACACAAAATTAAAGAAAACTAAAGCACTAAATTTCAATAAAATTAATAATACTCTCTATACTCCATATAAGGCATATACTAAATATTAATACACTAAAAAGTGAAACCTCAAAACTGAACATAACATTTTAAATTAATCTACCAATCACAAAATAAACGGACAACCTCTCATGATAGCAAAAACAAACAAAAAACAATGCAACCAACGTACTAAAATACCATGGACTTACTGGACAATTGAGTGATAATAGTGTTATCACTTTTATCAGTGTTATTTATCTGTAGTCATGTATATGATAACTTAAGTTATCTTATAATTCAATGGTAGTCATTGAGATAGATAATAATATAGTATATTATAATTACAGATATATAAAACAAAGATACTAACCACTGTTGGAGGTGAGAAGTTGGGAAGGTAGTATGTATAGTAGTATTTAATGTGTATCTGTACGCTACAATTAATAATTGCTAACGAAAAACGATTCTGATGTTATAAAAGGCCGTAATATTTACAGTTTTCATCAACATTTGATATTAAAAATTCGTGTAAAAAAAAAATTTTACACCACACTCAATTTTCTTTTTTGACCACAAAATACGACTTATAATGAACCTCCTGTTAAATTTTCAATCATTTCTGTTTGGTCAAACAATTTTATCCACAGAATAGAGTAGGTACTAATAAAAATGAAGTAAAAACTCACAAAATTAAAATACCTATAAATAATTAAAAAAATAACTTAAATGTTTTCAAAATTTGACCACGTTTAGAAAACGCAAATATAATTTGTCTATCCTAATTTCAAGTTTCTACTTTTTAACATAATCAAAATAACTATTTATCTCAGCAAATGTTGTACCTATTTTTAAAATTTGTATTAATGTTAAATTTTATTATGTATACAAATATTACATTTTTTATAATTTTAGAATAGGTATTAAGAAAAACTAATTTTAAAATTCACTGTTTTTTGTATATTTTTAACGTAATATGTTATATTAAATCAACAAATATTAACACTGAATTATACTTAAATTTGTATATAATATATTCATTTTTGTTATAACTTAGTTACCTATAGCTATTGTAACTTTTAATACCTACCTATTGTTTAGATTTCAAATCTATGTAAAATTGTGAAAAAATAAAAGGATTATGCTTTATGGGTAGTTACCAACTAATATATTATACAACTATTATTAAGTTAATTTACTGTACATTTGTTTATTACCAATAAAATCCTAATGAGTACTAATGGGGTTAGTTAATGTATTAAATTAAATACTATGCAGTAGTTAATATGAACTATGAATAAAATTTAAAATAATTTGAAATGTTCTGACAAAGTAACAACTAAAACAAAATAATGTAAGGAATCATTATATTTATATTAATGATACAAAAATATTACAGGTTAAACAAAAATTGTTAAAATAAAGAATTCAACAAATACAATACCTACCTATACGGCTTACCTAATATATTGTATAGTACTTAATCATAATTTAATAGCTAATTAATGTTATGGATGGGTTATATAGTTGATAAATATTCAAATTTACCTAATTCAAAAAAATTATAGTTGTCATAAGTCTGGAAATGACAGATTTTAAAATAATTGGAAAATTAAGGATTTTGTGATGTTTATTGGAATGGCAAAATTTAAACGTACCTATCATACATTTCAACTAGAACTGTTTTGAGAATAAAAATGGTTTTGTATGATAAAAAAGACGTCCTAGAATAATAGAGACGGGTGCAGCCACTGTTACGAAAAACGATTCTGTGCGGAGCTCAATTGATAATGATGCTTTGTCAACGACATATGTCATTTTATAGTGAAATAATTAAATAGGCTTTATATATTTTCTTTAATAATATTTATTTATTGTTGTATCGATTTTTCTAAGATTTTCCTCTATTTTTTTTCGGTTTTGCAAATTTGATGAGGAAACACCTGAGAAAATCGAAAAATGACCTCTTTAAAATATCCCCCTAGTGAAATTTCCTTTTAGAAACATTGCTATCATTATAAGTTGGAGCAAAATAAGTGTTAAAAACGTTACGCACAAATAAAAATATAAACATCAATATAAAACTATAAGCTTCTTCGTTCCACTCAGAATCTAAAATTGGGACTAATTATAAGAGATTACAATAAAAAAAAGAATAATTAAATAATGTGTTCTTGTAAAAAAACATTTATACATTGATAAACGATTTTAGGAACAAAACTAAATACGTAAACATGATGTCGCATCTTGAACAACCCCATCATCATGGATGATGCAATTTATAATTTTTCCGCCACTTAACTTATTAAAAATAAATAACTAAAATGTATGCACATTTTTATAACTTTATTCGCCATTATATTCTATTATGAAAGGTATATCTTCTAATTATATCGAAGTATTAGAATTACAGAATTAACGTCAGATCATATACTACTGCTTCTCACGTTAAGTTCTAATGTTATACATAAACAACGAAATATGTTGCTAATCAACAAGAAAACAGATTGGGACCTCTTTAGAACGAATCTAGACGAGACCTTAACCCTCACAGTAAAACTAAGAACACCTATTGAAATTGATAGTGCTGTTGAACAACTGACTAATAACATTGTAAAAGCGGCGAAAGCGGCAACACCCATAACACCAACAAGTGGTAATTGTGAGATTACCTACGCAAAAGAAATTAGGAAACTAGTAAAACAAAAACGAAAGGCACGAAAAAAATGGCACCAAACGAGAGATCCTTCGAATAAAACAGTCTGGAATCGCACTAGCGAACTTTTACATGACAAAATTCAAAAAATAAATAACGAAACGTTCAAATCAAACTTAAGTGAATTTTCTGCAACGAATAACACTGATTATTCATTATGGAAGGCTACAAGACGCATATCCAAATGGAAGATGGATCATGGGCACGCTGTGAACAAGATAAAGCAGATATGTACGCACGTCATTTAGAAACGTGTATTTCAACCAAACGAAGTGGTTTCCGAAGTCGACATAGCTCAGTGTCAACTACTAAATGAAATACGCGATAAGATAAAGCACTTTACTCCAGTTGAAATAGCAAAAGAAATTGATATGAATATCAACCCAAAAAAGGCGCCTGGGTACGACCAGATTAACCCAAAATCCTGAGAGTTATCTAAAAAAGCTATGATTCATCTAACACACATATTCAATGCCATCCTACGTATGGAATACGTTCCTAAACAATGGAAACGAGCCTAAGTGATCATGGTACTTAAACCAGGAAAACCACCAGAATAAGTTATTTCATATAGACCAATTTCGCTTCTTCCAAGTATCTCAAAATTATTCGAAAAACTACTTCTAAAACGCTTAAAACCGTTGATAGAAAAAGAACAGCTTAGACCAGAACATCAGTTTGGATTTCGAAATACACTCAACAATTGACCAGATCCATCGTGTCATTAACGTAATAAGCAAAGCGTTTGAAGAGAAAAAGTATTGCTGCGGAGTATTCATTGACGTGGCACAAGCTTTCGATAAAGTTTGGCACAAAGGATTACTTATAAAACTACGTGAACAGCTGCCACACACATGATACGCACTTTTCGAATCCTACATGACTGAACGTCTATTCATTCATGAAGAAGTATTAACTGATTGGAAAAACATATCGGCGGGTGTACCACAGGAAAGCGTCCTTGGACCAATCCTGTACTTACTTTATATAGCGGACATTCCAACCAACAACTGTTCAATGACAGCCATGCTTACTGATGACACGGCAATAATGACAACAAATGAAGACCAGCAGACTGCGACTGATTGGTTTCAAAGGTCTATGAACAACGTTTCCAACTGCCGTCTCAAACGTCGAAGACCATATGACTTAATATAAGATTCTTAGACTAAGACCGGGGCCGCTCCACTGGAAGTGAGATTCCACACATGTTTATTTTATTTTTTACTTTTGTATATAAATACATCACAAGTATTTATGTACACATTTGATAATGTATTGTTAAAGATTTATTTTGATCGTTACAATAAAAACTTTCAGGCGGTTTAGAAAAAAAAAATTATATTCTATAATATGCATAACATATAAAATAAGTAAAACTTTATAGATTACAGATTCTTACATAGAACTTATTATAGGTAGGTAGGTACCAACTTACATTAGATATTTGATTCCTAGATAAATAATTATGAAGGTTACCATAGACATAAACTAATTAATTTGTCTATGAGGTATACCTATTTCAAATTATGATAAAACAATAATTAAAACGAGCTTTGAACGAAAGGATAATATTATTAATTTGTAATCATTCAAAACTGTATAAAAACTCATAATTGAACATAAGCAATATTTTGTGTGTATAAAAATATTTGTTTGAACATTAGCAATAGAATTTAGAAAATGGATTAAAAAATATATTATTTGGGTAAACAACTTATTAAACTATTTGCAGTACAACTTCAGGAATTCAATAGGCAACATTGTATACAATTTTAAGAACCACTGAGTTTTCTTATCAAATATTGCTAGCGAAACGTATGTAAAGTACTAAAATATCATATTTTTATTATTATTAATATTAAGAAATATATAGTTTGTTAAGTACTTGTATTATTCTAAATGAAATACATTTCCATGTGATACCCTTAATGTTTTATTACTTACGAAATACTCAACAATGTTTCTTACTAATGTGTTGCTGAAAAAAGTTAAGTCCAAACACACCATGGTGCTAATGGAAAGTATGGTAAGCGGTCACAAGTACAATGTATTCAGAGAACGTTTGGCTGACAAACTGGAACTTATACATTTCGACCCATGGATAGGCCAAATGTCCGTATATAAGGAACGGAAGAAGATAAGGAGTGCAAATGTTAAGAGATTCACTGAACCTACGTAAATTTTTTTGTTACTAGATAAATATTTGTAATAATTCATAAAATGTAGAATACTTATATTTATAATTTCAAACTGTTGTAAAATAAATAAATAAATATTTAAAAAATTAAAGGCCTTTGATTTAAGTTCTATAGAAAAAAATGTGTTTCATGTTCAAATGGTATACTGTGAAAAATATGTGCGTAACTTGTTTATTATTATTATCTGTTTGTCAATTTTTAACTCGGTGTCTGTATACTTGATCCAAACACAATAATTGGTATATCATCAAATACATTAAAATTCAAACAAGTGATTTAACATTTTAGCATTATTGTTATCTACCAATTCAATTTTAATATGGATCAAGATTTTTATAATGAGTTTTAAAGTTGTTAATCTTTGTCAAAAATTATCAAACTAATAATATTACCATAACCAATCCATATTATATGTTGGTAATCGAAACATCAAAATAATCAAGTATTTTTTAAATTTTAAACACCTAATAACAAAATCATTGCAAAAAAGCTAATCCTTTTTTAACACAATTAGAATAATAGTATAATAAATAACAAAAAAAAAAAAAAAGATTACACATTTCATATTTTTGATAAACATTAGAAAATAAAGTTCTTACTTGATAACTACAATATATTTACATTATTTTTAATATTAGACAACTTGCCTAAACAGCTAAAACCACTTTTCGTCTATAGATTATCTATGATGGCTGCGGCCAAAACAGCCAAATAACCAGATTGTACCTACTCATTATCAACTTTAAGTTAGTGCCAAATATATTTAGCTATTTAGAGAACAGGTATATTGTAAATTTTGATTCTTTCAATTTAAACTTTACTACAAATTTAACAATTATTTCTAAATTTGCTTTAAACCTGCTGATATTTTAGAAAGATAATCTTTTATAAGTACTAATTGTGTACAATTAAAGACCCAAATTAATTATTATACAAAACTTTATTATTAATAATAAAATATATATATATATATATCATGCATTTTTATACATATATATTTACATTCAAAGCAAATATATTTTATTAAAAACAAGCAATACATTGGTATATATTATTTCAAAAAAATTAAATAACTGAAAATTATCCTAAGTTAATAATTTATTATTCAATAAAAAAATATTATATTCTATAAAATTACCATAGAAATAAAATAAGCTTGTAGTTATACAAATAAATTATATGATTAACCATTACTTGTCATACAGTTTTCAGTTTCATAAACTTCACCATCAGAATCGTTAAACTCGAGTATCTAAAACAACAATATGAATATTAAAAATGAATTATAATTAGATAGAATATTTTAAATGTACATACTACAGATTTTTCAAAATCATTCCGAAGCTCTGTTAACCCAGTCAAGTCTTCTAAATAATTAGGATTTATGAATACATTGTTTAAAAATTCTTCTTTTTTGTTTAAAAAATCATTTATGACCTTCAAATAAAATAATAGCTAGAGAATAAATTGAATAAAAATATAATTTGAATTTAAATTTACTTTTGGTGAACATGCAATACATTGAGAAAAACTTTGAGTGAATGGCTGTATTTGCTGAAAATCAGAAATAAATCCTCTAATTGAATGTGGTACTTTTCCTAAACAGCTATCAGCATTTGCTATCACGTCATGTCTATAAATAATAATTATATATTATTTAAGAATTATGGATCAGGAATAATTTTTAAAAAATATACTTTAATTGAACATATGACACAAATAATTCAACTGCCAGAGCTCCTGCTATGGAGGAAACACCAGGTCTGGTAACTGTACATTGTTGATCTAACGTTTTATCTATAAGTGACTTCAAAAAAAAAATATGTTAAGTTATTTACTGTAAAACAAAAATATAATAATAATAAAGATTATCTAAAAAAATAATTGAACTCTACATTTCCTGGTGCTGTGACGTCATTACAAAAATAACAACCTAATTTACTTTCTTTGGAAGAAATGTCTTGTATTTTAACTCCATGTCGAAGTACTAAATAAGAGTCAAATCCTAATGCTGCAGTTATAGCGAGCTATGGAAAAATTAATACATTATATAATATTGGATCAAAAGCTAAAATAGTAAAAAATAAATAATTACCTTGTTGCATAATGTACATAACATAGTAGGTAACCAACGACTTTCCCGCGAATCAGTTAACAAAAATATAATATCATGATCTTCAATCAATTTCAACAACTCATTTACAGTTTTATTATTATCAATGTTGTCTCCATGACCTGGCATTGGAATACTCATAACCACACCAGTACTATTCTACAAAATCCAAGTACAATGTAAATTTAAAAATAAATAATTTACCAATTATTTTGTATTTGATATTAAATACAAAGTTGTAAATTTTTTAATGGCAAAAGTATAATATTAAGTAATTTTGGAATTTTTCTTTGAAAAACATTTATCAATATAATACATTGATAGCTTATTAAATCCACCCAAATAATTTTAAACCACTTCTCTGTAAACTAAATTTACTCAAACTTTTGATTTTAAATTTATAAAGAGAATTTGTTTATATGATTTATGTACATAAATCTAATATTGAAAAAATGGTGTTTTTAGTTACTCTAAAAGTAGATAAGATATTGTATCTCTTCACATTCCCCCAGACTATGTTTTGAATTAAAATAATTATTTCAGTATTCAATATAAATCAAAATTTAAAAAAATATATTTTGTCTTTGGAAATTAAAATACTAATAGAGTCTATAGAAATATCAAAATTGAGAAATTAACTAAAATGTACATAAATAACATTTAACAAGCTAAGTCAGTGATAAAAGAAACAAATTGAGACAATGTTTATCAATAATTAATTATTTAATATTTATTGATACATACAATTCCTGGATGTATTTCACGTAGAGTGTTAGCGGCAGCTATTGCCTTATAACTATTTGGGCAATGAGAATGCGTGTATAATGACTGCCTCACTGGATTTGAATATGATACATAACCATTATCAATAAATGTTATGTTTTGTACACCCCATGACTGTAATACAAAAATAATTAATATAATTTGTTTACAAATTAAATTACTTAATTTACTTTTGGATATTTTAGATTAAAATTTTAAATATTTGTAATACCCACCAATAAATTTCTAGCAACACAACAACCTAGTGTACCAGCACCAATAATTAGACATCTTGATTGAGCAATAACGTCCAAGTTTAAATTAGGGGCAACGCGCCATTTCATTAACTTAAGGTTGAGATTTACAGATTCACTCGCTTGCCTACACAATTTTATCAACAATATAAATACAACTAGGGCATATTTTAAAATTAACTTACTTTTTAGGGTCCATTGTTTTACTAAGATCTACATATTTAGGACAGAATTTCCCTTTAATTTTCTCCCAGCCCACAAATGTAATACAATCTTGATTACCAACAACTTCAATATTGGCTAAATATTAACAAATTAATAAATATTTTTTATCTCATAACAATTGTATAATGACTTACAAGACAATTTGATATTAAACAACATGCTTGGTGAAAATTTACTAGTAGGAGACCCTCGTAAAGCAATGACTTTCAATATTGAAGTTCTTATGGAAGGACTATAGTAAAAAGTAACATTATACAATAATTTTACAAACAGCATATATAGTTTATTATTACTAAATTATGTATTAAAAAGAAATAATATTTTTAAATTATATATCATTGTTCTAATCCTAGTGATATTTCAACTAAATTTAACAAAACTCAAGATGTTTCAATTAGTTCAAAAGTCAAATAAATTATCAAACACCTAATAGTAATGAATCAAATGTATTTATTTTATAAATGTATTAAATATTAACTGCTAGATATAAAAATTAGTAATAATTTAATGTGCTACTTAACATAATTTGATCAGATTTTTTTTTGGTAAAAGTGTGTGTATAAATGTTTTTTGACTTAAGTCAAAAGACTTTTGTAGGATTAATTTTATTTTTTTGCTTATTTACTTTTTATTGTACAATTTAATAGCCTCTCATTCTTGAGGGCGAAGAGTAACAATGATAGAAAGCTAAGCTTTTAAATAATATGCCTATAATTAAAAAGCTCGACTGAGCAATTGGTGAGGTCGTGAAAAAATGGGATAGTGAAATTACTGGTGAGAACCAAAAAATTACAAATAAAATAAAATCATGTAATAATAATTAAACAAAAACAAATTTGAGATCTTAAAACTAATATATAACTTTATTAAAACAACCATTTATTTCTCAACATTTTAAACAATTATTAATAAAATAGATAATTGTTTAAATGTTTATAATTAAAAAATATGAAAATGATAGTTGATAACAGATAAATGAATGTTTACAATTGTGCAATATATGCAGATAATCTGGTTATATATAAATATTATTGGATGTTTTCATACTAACCTAACCTAACCTTTGTATTACTATAAAATGTGTTGAAATTATTAAAAATTAAAAACTTAAACGATTATAGAAAAGTCACAATTATTATTGATAAGTTTCATCATTTAAATGAGGGTACTACGCTACCATGATTAGTCTGGTGACTATAAAAATTGGTTGGTGATTGAAAATTTTAAACAGAATTTAGTAACATGGAACAATTTCCACTAACTAAATTGTGTATAAACAATATATATCAGCTTTTATTTGGCATCAAAAGAATGGCTTGTTTTATATTTAAGAGGATGTTATACCTGTATCTACTTTTTTAGTCCAACTACCGGATACAATGCAAAAATAATGCTTACAACACAGAATAAGTAAAACTAGCTTAATTTTGAAGGGAATGTTATAGACTTTTTATATTATTTAAAATATACAGTTTGATATAAAAGGTACAAAAACCTTTTTTTTTTTTATTTTATTTTAAATAACTAACAATTAATAGTTCATAATTTAATATAATCAAACCATTGAGCTACCTGCCCGTACTTTCAATAAAATTAAAATAAGATATTTTTAAAAAGGAGACCACACAACACAACCATATCCAAGCAAATATCTTACCAAAGCACAATATAATATACTTATAAGAGACACATTATTGAAGTTAGCTGAGTTACAACAAACAAAACCAAGGGTATGGGAAGCCTTATTACAAACAGAAAGAATATAGCTATTAAACTGTAAATTATTTGTGAAGGTCACTCCTAGGTCCTTAATAAATTTTAGAAGTTTATCGTTTAGGCTGTAATCAAAAGTAAAGAGATTACTACAGCAAACAAGTCTTCCTATATTTTCTCTGTGCCTTTGTGTTCGACAAACTTTTCCCGTAATCGCCCACTTTATAGGATGATGAGTATTTCCGACGAAGATCCGTCTATTAATTTATAAGTTATTCTGATGTACTATTTCTCTATTTATTATCATATTTTTATTTCATCTTTCTATGTCTTTCTATTTCAATTGCATTTTTGCAGGGTTGATAATATACGCATATAAAATGTTTTATATGTTATACATATTAAACGTATAGAATGACTAAAACATATAAAACTTTATACCTACTAAGACATTTTTTTTCTTAAGTTTTATTATAATAGTAATAATACTGTACATTTTAAATTCTAATAAGTATTACTTATAAATTAATATAACAAATTAACAAATCACATCAATTTGGTAAATTTTCTTAAATTTAAAATAAAATTTATAAAAATTTAGTATAAGGCTGTTATTGGTACACCAATTCTCAAAATAATAGTCATTTGCAAATTTTTATTGTCATTGACAAAAGTAATAACTTTATATAATTTCAAGACATCCGCAAAAAGTAAGAATTAACTACTATAAAAACAAAATGTATGTACAAATTAAATAATAGCAAAGACAAATGAAAATTTGTTCATCTTGAGAAACTCCAAATATTGTATTAATTGGAATGGAGATATGCTATATTGAATGCGCAAAGTAGAAGAATATAGTATTAAAAATTGTATTTTGGTTATAATACATTTTAATTTTTAAGTAATCAATGATTGTAATACTTTCAAAATGACTGTAGATAATATATCAAATTACTATCAATATATTATATTGTAAAGGTTTGTATATTTAAAAACAGGATTAACAAATAAAATCATTATCTAAAACTTTGAATCTCTAAATTGTCACCAGTATAAATAAATCTTACCAATGCATAAAAACTAAGTACAAAAGATTTCTTAGAGGCCATCCAGGATAATCTATTAAATCTGATGGATCAGCAAACACTAAAAAGCCTTTTGATTCACTTTCTACATCATGTCCAAGTACATCTATATATTGTTTTAAAGTAATAACTCTAATGTCTCCACTTTCAGAATGTATAATTCCAAAAAATCCTCTTTGAATAATGTTTAGATTTTTGAAACCAGAAACCAATAAATCAAACTATAATATAAAAATAACCTATAATAAAGACAATATAATAAATTATTATTATGTAATATTTACTTGAGTGTCAGAAAATATATTTTCAAGACAAGTAGGCATATTTATCAAACTATATTTTGGCTCAGCAAATGATAGGAATGCAAACCAAAAATAAAAGTGATATCGTTTCAAATTCTAAAATTTAATTTAGATTCATTACATTAAATTACCATAATAATTATCAAAAATAATTTAAATAAAAGAAAAATATCAAAATAACTTACGGAGTACATTAATATATCAAAAGCTGGAATCATGGATGGGTCCTCAATAGCCCTACCTGAACGGAAGTCATCTAACATACGTTCACCAAATTCTTTTAATAACTCAGTTTTGTTACAATTTTTGAAAGATTCTAAAGTATTTTTATTCAAACAATAACCACGAGCAACGTATTTAGAAGATACTTCATCATTCAGTTCTCTATAGTATTAACATAATAGATATTTAATATTTATCGGTCTATAAATGCATAGAATTATATACTGGTTAAATGATGAACAATCTAATGTCAAATAAGGAGATTCTTTTGAATCGTAATATCCAATTAATGGTCTGTAAACTTCATCCAATTTATCAACTTCCATTTTAAATTCACTAACTTTAAACCAAAAAGCAGGATCAAGAGTAGATGAAAATGGTACAAATTTTAAATGGACTTCATCTGCGTTGTCCAAATTGCCCTCTGTGTAGTCAGTAATATTTACTGTTTCTGTAAATGTATTAATTTACAATGTTTAATATATTACGTACAACTAGCTATTTATATGAATAACATAATAATAAATATAACTTACCAGGTAAACAAGACATTTTTGAAACAAATTTAATTCAGAGTTTTGAACTGTTTATTATTTCACATTTTCTGTTGAAAATCTATTCACCTGTAAAAATATAACACATAAATTAATTAGTAGTTGTCATAATATCCATTGATACATACAATTGTTATTTTATATATAAAATACTACTTATATAGGGCTCATTTAGATACTTTGAACTTTCTATTCTAACATTGTTGTTAATTACCTACCTATCAACTTATACACATTGCAACATAATGGAAAACCAATAGCTAAGACATTCAAAAGTCACTAAACGAAATGAAAACAAATGAAAACTTTATTAAACGAAAAGGTACCTACTGTAACTTTTTGTAAAACTCGATTTATGACAATATTATAAATTACAATAAATACAATAATATGAATCTAGTATACACAATTATTTATCTACTTACCTAACTATAAAAATAATATTAATAACTGATAAATTTAGTATACAGATACAGAAAAGAGGTTAAAATGATTATAATGAGTTATCAAAAGTATTACATTGATACTAAAATGTTTTTCAAAGAACAACTCCACAATTTTAAATTAATACATTGAATATTTTGCTTTTTACCATAGAAAAATGTATAACTTTCTATTTAATTATATACAGATCAATTGGTATATTATTTATTTTTAAATGTACATTGTACTTTTGTTTTTTTAAAATAGTACTGGTGTGATTATAAGTAGTTATAAGTACTTATTCGAATAATCTAATGTCATGGACCCTAATAATAACAAAAATGTAGATGCATTATTAAAATATTGATTAAAGATCATATTATAATATTTTTATTGACGAATTCGAGTGGAAAGTTGTTGGTTACCTACTATGCTATGTACATTATGCAGCAAAATAATTATTCATTATTAGCTATTTCAGCTTTTAATTCAATATTAAGTAATTTATTTTAAACCAACAATACCACAATAATAAATAAAGATCATAATACTTAATGTCCTGATAGTGTCATGAACGTTTTGTAACATAAAAAATATAAAATGTAAAAATTAAAAATTGAAATGACAATCACCACAAACAACGCATATTGCTACAATAGTCAAAAGTTTCATTTTAGTTTGACAAAAATAAAATATTAAACTAAAATGGAATTGCCAAATATATATTTTTGTATACTTAACTATAGGTTATGAAGATGGGAATTTCAAACCTTATTTAATTTAATTTTAATAGAATACTATTTATCCTAAAAATAATAACATTGTACACATTCAATTGTAATTACTTGTACCATTTGTGTTTATTTAATTTTCATTAGGCCCACACACAAAGAATAATCGTTTGATTGGTTTGCAATTAGGCATTATTGTGTACTAGAGTTTTACGGGATGCTCATGGGGGCCCGAATTTTTCAAAATTCCGTACACTTATTTTTTAGATTCTAAGTGCAGCGAAGAATGTATTATTTTTACTGAGATGTTTCTTTATTTTCATTTTTTATATTGTGTACAAAAATTCTACCAAAAGTCTTGTTCAGATGTTTATGAGCACCATTTATTGAAGGAACTTTTGTGCAGATGGTACTTTTGGGAGGTAATTTTTTTAATTTTCCATGTGGTTTTCATAATATTTGATACAAAAAATTAAGATAAAACGTAAGAAAAACGGGAAATTCACGAAAGTAATACTTTTATCATTATTAAATTTTGTTATTTTTTTGTAATTTAGTTAAAATTATTTGTAGACTTGAAATTTAGAAAGAAAATTTATATTTGTCTTGTCTAGACGTGGTAACATTTTTAAAACATTTAAGCTATTTTTGAGCTATTTATAGATTTTATAATTTTGCGAGTTTTTTACGTAATTTTTATTCGGTAAGTACCTTCGGCGGTAAAATTTTTCGACTTAACAAAAATTCGTGAAAATGTATAGTGGTTTATTAAAAGTATTCGTGGTCAAAAAAAATTTGAATTTATTGTAGTATTTGTTTTTACAAGAGAATTTTAATATTAAATTTTGAAAAAAATCGTTTGAGTAAAAAATGATGATGAAAAAATTTAATTTCCCCATTCTTTTTTTTTTGAACATATGTATTACGTATATTGCCGATTTAAGAACGTTGGTGTAGTCAGAATTGAGCAGACTATCTAAGTTTAATATTAAATAAATATTGTTAAAGAAAATATATAATGCTTATTTTACAATATGGCATATATATATATTTTTTTTTTTTTTTGACAAAGCATCACAATCAACTGACCTCCACTCAAAATCGTTTTCGTTGGCAATGGTTTATCGTTGCTTACAGATATACATTAAATTGCCTATAAGAGTGGCTGTACCCGTCTTCAATATCCTAGGACGTATTTATTTTTTTTTTTCGGTTCACATTCCGGCCTGGGGTAATTCTCTCCGACCCCCTCCCCTCTTGACGGGCTTGTATCCTATCATCTTACCTACTACAGTCAACAGTGGCCAACCCTCCGTGCGAAGTATGTCCGTATATTTTTTAATTTCTATTTACCTTAGTTTCATTTTATCAAGTGTTATATTCCTCAAGCCTATTATTAACTTATGTCATCTGTAAATGTAAAACATCATATACCACAATACCTACTCTTACCTGTTGTTCCCGCACATATCCAAGATTGGACAGTCTTGTTTAGAATTCTTCATATTGTATGACAGCATTTTACACTGGCTTCACAATCTTACTTTTTGCCTCTTACAACAGATAGAGGTACTGTGGGAGGATTCCAATTCCTTCCCACAGGGAGTCAAATATATTAGGTGCCTATATTTATATGAATAAAATGTATGTAATATACGATGTATGTTAGATTACTGTTTTTAGAATATTTGTTATGAAGTGACTATTTTAAAAATTAAACAAATAACATTGCTTTTTTGTGATTTAAGGGGTGAAAATGAAAATTTAATTTTTCCAAAATATATGCCCACCTGATCCAAAATCCAATTATAAAAAAAAAAAAAAAGAATATGAACAAAGATATTAGCAGTGATAAAACATAATGGAACACTCTATATACATTTAGAAATTGTGATAATGTAATTTAGATTTATAAAACCTACATACAAGCTTTTATTATTATTATTAAGTTTCTATTTATTTTTAGTAATTAATAATAGATAATTCATACATTTAAAAATATTTAATACTTATATTTATATATATTCTTTAACTATTGTTAAATAATTAGGTAAATGATAAAACCATCAAATCAAAGACCTTTTGATTTAAATTCTATGGTCAAAAATGCCTTCATGTTCGGATCTTGTACTTTGTCTAATATTGTTTGTGCAACTTGTTTACTATCACTGTCTGTTAGTATTTTTTTAACTTTTTCTGCATACTCAATCCAAACACAATTGGCACATCCTGACATACAACATGTAGTTGGTTCTTCAGGTAATTGTGGTGGAGATTTTGAACAAAATTGCTTGTGTAATACTACATAACGCATAATAAATGAACTGCTTCGAGTTGTAAAGTGCATCTTTATTTCTGTAAAACAATAAAACAAAAATAAAACATATAAAACTGAACAATAGTGTACAGAACGAGAAAATTTATACTATTATTTTCTAGAAAATAATTTCATGGACATCACTTAAATCTTTAAGAATTATAAATAATATTTGTGTTAAGTATAAAATTATATTTTCTTAAATAATTTGAATAGCAGGTATAAGCGAAATTATTAACACATTACCTATACCATAGATACATAGATTGAATATAGATACATTAATATCATTACTCATTAAGAATAATTTCTACTCATATGTTGTATCTAAATGTTATAAAAAATATTATTCACAATGTGCAAATATTTGTTCAACTATATAATTAATAAAGTAAATGTTATTTTAGTTCATCAAAGTTATTACTTAATAACTTAATAATAAGTTTTAGTTTGTGTTCGAAATTAAAGTACTTAGGAATGTTTATGGGCCTTGTAAAGATTTAAGTACAGGAGAGTGAAGAATATGGAAAATAAAGAACTATATAAAAGTCCAAAATATTGTGGAAGAACTTAAGTACCAAGAAGAGACTCAAATGGGCATGGCATGCATGGTGTAAATTATTCTAGAAACAGTTTATGGTGTTTTAATAAGAAAAATTACATAGGAAAAACTGAAGAGAAATTGTTTGATCGGTAGGTACCTTAAAAAACTTAACTACAAAAAAGATTTACTAATTTTATAATTAGATTACAAAATAGTAACAACAATAAATTATTTTATTTTGTTTATTCAGAATATACTATCATAATATTTTTTTATAAATGTATAATTTACATTATATATAACCATAATAATTATAATAAAAATAGATTTAAAATTAAAATCAAATAATAAACAAGGATTACAAATTTGTATTGAAAAGAATTAAAATTAAAGTTATTTCCGGAAGTCATCTGTCACGTTGGCCATAAGGTATAGTCTTATCCAACATATCTCCTATGTTTTATGTTGATCATTGAATTTTGTATAATATCATAACAATAGTCAATTTTACATTTTGATATTTCTTCTATTTTAATTTTAACTAATTGAAATTTCATTCAAAGTTAAATAGAAATTGAATAAATGATTAAACATTATCATTACCCACCTAAACAATATTAAAAGGGATCAGGATTTATATATTTAGAGGTAAACTTAAAAAAAAGTTTTATAGTTCAACTTTGTAAAAAAAAACACTTTAAACTAAATTTTAAATAGGTAATACATTTAAATATTTAATTATGTATAAACAACTAATAATATTATCACATAGCCAATCCATAATACATAATAAATTCATAAATTAAATTTTTGGTTGACGAAACACAATAAAACAAAATAATAAAGTAATTTTTTTTGTATTTGTTATTGTTTAAATGATATATACTGATTTGTTAATTTTTTAAATGTATATATATATATATCTGTGATTTGCTACTTCTTTCAGCAAGTTACAGGTATAGAAATTCATAAATATAATACAATTTCTAAATTAATAAAATGGTAAAAAATGTAGTTGTAGTTTTAAAATAATTGGTAAGTAAGGGTTTAAATAAATATTCTTTGATTACAATCATTGCTGTCATGACTTATGTAAACTAACATTTTACATTTGAAAAAAGCATTTAATACACTTATAAAAGCAGATAATAATAACATATTCCATTAAAATATATTAATTGGTTATACTTTTAACACAATATTTATTATATCAGTATACAAAAAATATTATATAATATAATACCTAATGTCTTCATTAGTGATATTGATTAAAACATATTTTTTGTTGCTAAAACAAATCAAATTTATTATAATGTATTTTATATAGTCAAAACCTTCATTATAATATTAATTTAATTTAATATAACGATACCGATAAATGTCAAACAATAAAATTAAAAACATTAGGATTAAAATGTTATAAAAAACATGTAATACACAAAGATGACACAATTTAGTACTGTAAAGGTGATCAATATTCAGAATAAAATGTATAGGTAATAACTTAATTAGTTACCAACTAAAAAAGGAAAAATGCTTAAATAATCACAGTAAGCTTTAGTCAATGCTAAAAGCTTTGAGGTAATCGCATGTACTTCTGTGCCATTTTCATTGTAATATTGGGTATTGCAGCATTTTGTAAATCACCTAAATTCATAGATTTGAGTGCTGTGTTCTGGAACATGTGTCAAACATAATGTTTGATACCTAAAATTTTAACATAAACTGTTTAATAAAAATGCAACAATAAACAAAATAATGTTCTTACCATTCAGAACTCCGATGATAGTAATATCCTTCAATGGAAGAAGTAGATTTCTGAAAACATATGTAATAGAAACCGGCAAATGACGCACCACTGATATCACGTATTGTATGGTCAGGCACTAAAAAATGCTCCTTCCACCGCATGAATACGTGATCAGCATTTTTTAACTCTTCATAATCGAATGCATCAGAATTAAATGTCTTAGCATACTGACAAAATGCGGCAAATTTGTTCTACAAAATAAAAGTTTAATAATAAAATACTAAATACAATGATAATATTATGATGATGTTTTAAGACTTAAGGTGTTTAATGCCCATACACAATCACTGTAGTAGTGTTATCTAAACTTATGTATGTTCAAATAAAACAAAACTGTTGAATCGGCAACATGGTTCTTGCAAATGTGTATTGTAATTCAGTTATGAGGCGATGTAAAGTACAATAGTCCTTTTAATCAGCATTTGAAGGGAAGGAACCTATTCTGATTAATTAAAATCAGCTTTAAAACAAGTTTTTAAGTAGATAAAATTATTAAATCAACATTTTTATCATAACAATTATTACTTCTTCAGTCTACAACGTAGGCCTAGTTTTTAACATAAGTATTATTCTAAGATAAAAATAATATATAGTATTATTTTAAATTTGTAGATTATTGTACAATACTACTACATAGGTACAACTACATTTCATAACTGTCTCATTTCATAACCTCATAAGTCTGAATAATCGAAACTATTGTAGTTGCATTTGATCAAAAAAAAAAAAAATCAAGAAAGTTTTTAGTATTAATAATGTTGGTATTTTTCATGTATGAAACCTATGACTGAACTTTTTATCAGTTTTTGGTCACAAACAATAGAAATTACCTACTATGCTTAGAGCCTAATCCAGTAAAACAAATTGTGTATGTGCATCTTTTCAAAACTTTAACGGGGATTATTTTAATGTACTACTTATAATGAATGGTACAAACCCAATGTTTTTTGTCCACTTCTTCGTCTGCGTCCCATTTTCTCGTCAAAAAAGGACATTTTTTGTTAATGATTTCTCCGTCAAAATACGTAGTCAAATTAGGAAATTCTTCAGTGAGACCTTTAATTTTTAGATAACCACACAGATAACCGTTTTGCTCATCGACATACTGGAAAATTCAATTACGAGTGCGTCGCGTTAACATGGGCCAAAATCGCGAAAGGAATAGCGGGCTGCGCTACACATAAGTCGTAAATAACGTAAGTTACAAAACTACACACCTGCAATACGACTTCCACTTCGTAGCTGTTGCCTTTCGAACGCTGAAATCCTATAAATTTCGATCCGCTGTACAATATAGATCCGGTAACGCCTAATTGTTTAGAGTTGGCCGGGGGTCTGGGCGTTATATCCACCTTGACGGGCATACCTGCAGGTATTTCGAAGGAGGATCTATGTACACACAATTTCGATTACGATTTAGTATTTATTATTACTGTTGACTGTAATAATCGTTATTATTATTGCGATTCGCGATGGCCCAGTGTAGTACTACATTTATTTACGATATTAGTCTACACACAAACAAGCGCGTGCGCACTCAAACGCATACAAACACAAAAATACAATATTGCGTTGGTAAAATTATTACATATTTCGAGTATCCGTGAGTGACGGCTTTAAGGGCGAGAGCGCGTGCGTTGTCTAACTACCAGGGTCCAGAAGAGGGGCGGGAGGACGCGAAATTAAAAGTCGTCCAGGAAAATGACAAGGACATCCGAGGTCCGGGCCCGATACGGTATCGTACCAACGAAACGGCGGCCACCAAAATAAAAAATAACGAGAATAATAAGGTTGTCAAATGACATTAATATAATGGGTAAATAATAAATATTACCTACCATAATATTATATTAATATAGCGAAAATAGTACCTGCTTTTGGTTTGTATTATTATTACGGCCAAAGACTGCGGAAATGCAAGATTGGAGATACGGACGACGAGACAATCGACAACGACGAGGTAAAATCGTACTAACTATAAGTACCTACACTATTCGCAAACGGTGAAAACGCGATTACGAATGATACGAGTGTGACTGTGAATGTAGCGCGCGCCGCCCGCCCGTTTCCGATACCGACCGGCGTGCGCGCCAGTCCACAGATCACATTATCCAAACGACACTTGTACACCGATCGCAATAAAAATAATATTATGACAGAATTCATCATTTCTGATTATTACCATAGATAATAAATTAATGAATAGCCAATAGTATGACGGCATATTAGTGAAAACGTAATAATAATATTGAGGCTGTATACTTCGTGTAGGTAAATTACTTTGTCACAGAAACAGTGGTTATTATAAAGAATAGTATAAACAAACGGCGTCAATTTCTCATTATATTGAACCGTAAAACTGTAATGACTATAAATATGGTCTCAATATGTATTATCCGATCCATTACTTTATTAATAATTTATGATTATTACCTACCTATTAGATTTAAGAATTAGCGGTAACTGAACTCAAATGAAAGTGTCTACATCGCGTGTACTAGATAGGTAACTAACGTTTTAACCACTGTACAATTTCATTTAATCTGTGTTTAAACTCTAGTCAATACAATGAAGTTGGTCAATAGGTAATACATTCTGCAGTGTACACGCGTGCGGTGCGTAACCTATACGACTATTATAGCGCGTCATTCAATATTAAGAAACTCGGTTGGATTTACTTGATTTATTCAACTCACAAAACAAACTATAGCATTGGTGACCAACCTTTTTTACAGAAGACTATACAAAATAATAATAATTCTTGGTGGGCCAAGACTTTTGACATTTAATTTTAAGTAGGCACCTAATTGAGTATTATATTTTATTGTAGATAGGTACATCTTAAGATAGGTAATTATTTATTATGTTTTAGTTATGAACAAAAATGTAAAATATAAACATGTCTTGTTTTAATGTGAAATTACTTTTTTTTCAATTTTGATTTAATAATACTTTAGTGGACCGGCCGATTAATAAATGATTGTGGACCGGATTTAGCCCGTGGATTGTATTTTGTTAGTTGATCACTACTGAACTATAAAATTAAATTTGTTGAAAATATTACCTATCACTTTTATTTTTTAATAGTGTATACTATTTTTGCTACTTACATAAATAATACTTTTAGTAAAAATTGAGAAAAATTGTAAAATTTCATATAATTTTCGAATTTCGGAGGACTGGTGAATTTTTTTTTGATCAATTAAGAGACCATAACCAACATTTCCTCTAAATTTCAAAATCTTCTTATTTATATCAATATAAAATAGTTCATTGACTGGACTTCAGAAAGACTAGATAAATAAATAAACTTGATACGTTTGTCGATAATTACTTAATTATCTAGTATTCAAGTATTCTATAGTCTATTGGATAGACTCTATTCAGTCTCGAATAAGGAATGCAGTTATTGGACCGCCGAGTTTTAGCATTTACACCGACTCAAAATAATACAAAATAGATAAAATTGCTACAGATTTTCTTAGAACAGGTATAATTTCTACTTGATAATTAATAACTCGTCGGTATATCTATTAGAAGTAAAGTATTAAAGAATTTTTCTTGGAAGGGTCCACATAATTTTGTCGCGAGAAATTGTCCACCCTTTGGCAAACATAATGTCGTCCCTTTCGTCAAAAGCAAAATATATAGTACATAATTTTAATTATTAATAATGAATAATAACACTTAAATTTGATTGTTGAATTTCTATAGGCTTCAATAAAAATTGTGTGCAACTAACTTCCTACTTGTTTATCAATATATTTTTATTTAGCTTCTCTAATTTTCTTATATTTAAATCCGGAAAGTCATTTCTGTGATGTCATGATTAATAAAAGAAAATTATTTTAAATAGTGTTCAATCCTAATAATTGTATTAGCCTAAAAATGAACATGAATCCATGATAAATGTGTTATATAGTAAATATGATACAGTGATGGAGAGGGTGTAGGGGGCATGAACCTCCCTAATTTGGTTGAAAAAAATGTCCCATAAAATAATTGTGTGAGAGCATACGACGCTTTTTTATATCTTAAATCGCCAGCCGGCGGCCTGTGAGAGAAGTGTGTGCCGTGTGGTCAATTTAAACGTTTATAAATTCTATGAAATTTAATACCTATAAATTGAATTTATTGTGATTATTATTTATGTTAAATCTATAAATAAATATTGCATTTAAATCGTTCGTCGTAATCGAAATGTAATATTGTACTCGTCATCAGATTACAATTTGAGGGTGCGTAAAATATTAGAATATATAGGAATACGTATGTATCTATATGTATAAGTATTATAAATATTTTTCTGACCAAATTCGGTTCCGACAAAACACTAGATAAGTTAGGTTAAGTTAAAAGCGATAGACATAAAGTAATAATAATATATAATATACTATTAGATACAGAGCCACATTTATGATTTTGGCACCCACGGGCAACAGCATTTTGGCGCTTCCGACTTTGCTTATGATTAATTGTATAACTACTTAAAGTAAGGTAGAGTTCGGATCCATGTTGAATCATGATTAAAAAATTGTCAATTAACTACAGTTTTCTGGTTGAAACTTTGAGAGCTCATACCTCAACTTTGAAAAACTACCAAATACTATTTTCGATTGTTTCTTGTAAGATGGTAGGGTCAACTTTAGAACTTTGAAAGCTCATATCTCACCTTTGAGAAATTAGCAAATTTCGGGGATGGGCTTGTAAATTCTAGCAAATTGAGACGAACATTTTGATACCATTTTCGATTATTTTTGGTAAGGTGTGTGGGCTACCTGAAGTTGCTCCACCCTTGAAATGGTGGGAAAATAATGAGTAGAAAATTCCGGGAATAGACTTGCAAATTCTTGTAAATTACTAGCAAAATTTTGGCATACATTTTGAACGGATTGGGTGAAGTCGGCGGGCCAACTTCATGGCCGTCTCTATTCATAGTATATGATCTAATGTCAAATTAGTATGACTATTATTGGTTATGGCCGTTATGGGTTTCGTTATCATCAACAAGATAAAATTTCGTTTTGACATCTGGTTTTTTCTGATGGGTTTAATAAATTGCCCAATAGCAGTAAATTTAACGAATATTTAAAAGTTAATAAACAAATTACTTAAATTATTTTCTGTAAACGAGTAAACGTTAAAATTATTTTTTTTCAGTATGTTTATAGATTATCGAAAATAGGTGTTGCCATTTGAAAATCAAATGTTGATATTGTTTTATCAAATAAAGAAGGTAGTAAAAATTTTCAAAATTATACCATAGTGTAGAACAGGAAAAACTAGAAAATAAAAAAAAATTATTTTAATATTCCCAATACTTACCGAGATATTGACCGTTTCATGATAATAAAAAACACCTTGTATTTGTGATATCTATACTATTATATAAAATTGTAAGGGTTTTTCTTCGACCGCGCTAACCGAGAAAACTACTGGACCGATTTGGCTGAAATTTTTTTTGGCTGAAACCCGACACTCTGCTGAAGGTTATAGTACCACTTTTGTCAGTAAAAAAGTTCATAAAAGTTCATAAAAAATTAAAAACAATTGTACCTATATTGTGCGGCACGGCGGGTCGCGGGTTTACAGCTACCTGTAACTTGACCTTTTTTTTGTATCGTGTTTGATATNCAGAAATGAATTGAGAATTGAAATGGCAAATTAACGCGAATTGTAATATTTTTAGGCGTTTAGAAGTATATCGCACTTACACCGACAACACGTATACCCAATATTCATATCTATACTATATTGTTATTATTATAACTTCGTTATATTAACTAATCATTTAGGCTAGGTTCACATAGACGATGGACGCGCGTGTTTAGATATACGGATTTCTCGATCGAGAACTACGCGTGACTCCGCGTATTGAATCCCATAAATCATTATCGGACCTTTCGGTTGACACGCGCGTTTCGACAACGAAACAGCGATTCATTGTGCAATTACATATTATAAAAATACTATACTATACTATAACTATTATCTATCTATCTATCTATTATCTATCTATACTATTATATAAAATTGTAAGGGTTTTTCTTCGACCGCGCTAACCGAGAAAACTATTGGACCGATTTGGCTGAAATTTTTTTTGGCTGAAACCCGACACTCTGCTGAAGGTTATAGTACCACTTTTGTCAGTAAAAAAGTTCATAAAAGTTCATAAAAAATTAAAAACAATTGTACCTATATTGTGCGGCACGGCGGGTCGCGGGTTTACAGCTACCTGTAACTTGACCTTTTTTTTGTATCGTGTTTGATATCGGCGTTCCGAGAAGTATATCGCACTNACATGTATACCGAATATTCGTATTAATCTTTATCTATATCTTTATATATTTATATCTACAATAATTTCTCAATTCTCTTTCTCCTTCGGGATTTCCTCTCCATTAGCTAAAATTAAAAATTGGTACTCCGATTACATTATTACGTAATCTTCAACCACCGAAGTTATGTAACGGTACAAGATGACAAATAAAATCGTTGCAGAATAGTGTTATAGGAGCCGTCATTCTTACGGGGCCAGCAAAAGGAGAAATTGCATTTATTCCAAGAATTCCCGTGATTCCGTCGGACTTGCCGTTTCCGTTCAAACGGCTTTAATTCTCTGTTAAAGTTTCTTTGGCAATCACGATAAACAAAGCTCAAGGTCAAACATACAGGTACGTTGGCGTAGGTCTTCGAACACAGTGTTTTTCACATGGACAATTATACGTGGGATTTTCTCGAACTGGGGACCCGAAGCATCTTATGATTTTAATTTCAACAGGAGATAAAACAAAAAACGCCATATACTCAGAAGTTTTATAAAATTCTTTATCAACCGTAAATTACTCAGCATTTCTTTTGTATCTGCATTCATTTTTAGTAAAAATATATTTGTCATTAATCCCGCTTGAAACATTTCAATACGTTTTCATTTACCGTTTTTTTTTTTTTTATATTAATTTGCCGATATTATTAAACGATAGAATTTGATTAAAAAGTTCTATATATCATTATCCAAAGGCAAATTAAACAACCAATCACGGGTGAAGCCGTGACGGGTCGGCTAGTATATTTATATGATTCTATGGAATATGTATGTATTATCTTTAATTATACCTTATCGTATTGACATATTCCGTGGTTATACGTAATCGTATTGGCGCAATTAAGACAAATATAAAAAATAGGAATTTGGAAGAATTATTTTGTGTTTTAATGTTAGTATTATTTACTATTTAGCTATAGAGTGGGGGGGGTTACAGTTAGGACCCACGGGTCTATGATAAATCTACAGTTAAAACCCTAACCGAACTATAATCCTCTGTGCGTTACTAGTGGCCACTCTTGTAAGTAGGAAGTTAGGAAGGTAGGATATAGAGGGGAATTTAATTTATATCTGTAAACAACGATCAATCATTGCTTACGAAAAACAATTATGAGCGGAGTTTGGTCATTAGTATTGCTTTATTAACAATGTTTTTACCAATGATTACCTTATTTTTAATCTTTCAATTTTTTTAAGCTAAAGAAACAGTTTTTCCTCATTATTTCCGAAAATTAATAAGCATTTCAAAAAATTACCTTTTTGAAGTACAAACCAGAGTCAAAATGCAACAAAAAAGATATTTTGTCATATTTTGATTTCTAAAAATTTCTAAGAAAAAAGTTGTTTACAGACAGAAAAAAAATACACATCATAGTAAAACAAATAGATTCTTCGTTCCTAAAAAAGGAATTTAATAATACTTGTATATTCTAAAATGTAAAATAACAAAAACAGATTTAACAGTACTAAATCGGAAACAAATCGTCCATACTAAAATTTATAAGTAAAGGCTTAAAAATGCCCATTACTATCGTAGCTACTGTGTCTTCAAGCAACGGTTTGATTTCCTGCATTAGGTCCCTCCAATTCTCGTTTATGAACCGATTAGTTTGATCACCTATTATACACAAAATTAACGATTTTCCAAAAAATGTTTGAATTATAATTTAAAATGTTTACCTAATTCTTTATTACCATTGAACAAATTATTGAAACGTAATTTTACTGCACCAATTATCAAACTCACTTTATTTTCTTTAATTTCTATAAAAGTTTTGTTGTTTTTTTTTTCGAGATATTCTAATCCAATTTTAACTTTTGTTTGTATATTAGCTACAAAAAAAGTATCAAATAAAACTTATTTGTTAAATTAATGTAATAAATTAAATAATTTTATAATCACACTCATAACAAAAAAAGTTTCTGAACTATTCAAATTTAAAAATATAATTTTGAATAAAATTTTCATTATATGGATTCCGTTTAATTGAATAGAAATTACCCATCATACTTTTAAAAATACTTACTGAAATTTCCAACAAACTTGCCGTTTCCTTTAATAGGTAGTAATAATATTTGTCCATTGACCTCGTATTTGGATTCAATTCTGAACGACGGAAAATATAAATCAATTTCCATAGATTTTTTTTTTAAATCAGCTCTATAAAAAATATGATTTACTACATTTTTTAATTTGAAACAATAAGTACCTACCCCGAATATTATAATATTATATATATGTGAATTATATCCTGTATTTGATTTCATGTAATTTATTTAAAATAACAATTTTATATGTCACGCATATCTATGTTGTCATTCTTTTATTATTTAAAATAATACATTTATTGTTTTTTCTACAACTCCAGTTATTTTAGTCATTAGTAAAGTTTACATAACAAAGCTAATTTAAAACATTTAATATCCTTTAAAAATTGATACACACAGTCTGTCCCACGAAAATATACCTTGAATATCTTTGGAGAAAATAGAGATAATCAAATTCTGTTTTTTTATATTATTCACAGGGTTGAGGACTACAAATATTTATATATGAATTTAATTTTTTTGTTTTTAGTACAGATATAAAATACTAGATAGCTAACTTGTCTACATCAGGATATGAAGTGTTGAAGTCAGCCACCATATGTATGTGGGTCAATGTTTACATAATTGTCTTATTAATACAGTATGATAATATGACAATATTCGCACAGAATAAAATCGCAGTTTTTTAATTTATTTGTATAAAATGCGTTTTGAATTTTATCTACGTTTAGTTTTAATATTGTTCATTAGTTTAATGTTGTTTTTAGCTATTATAATTGTATGTATTATTACATAAATATTCTTTATAATATAACAGGGTATGTAGTTCGTAAAATTTCAAAACATATTGATTGTGTTAGTTGCATCCAATCACTACTTTTAAGTCAAACTTCTATCATAATTATCCTGTACCTCAGTTGTATACTAAATTAACTTCTTTAAAAATCCTTATTTTTATCTTCCGAGAGTTCATATAAAGTAATTATAGAGGTAGATAAATACTATTTATATTTAACTATTAACTTAACTCAGATCAATGAATTCAATTTACAAAAAAAAAATTTTTATGTCATTAATAAATTTGCGTTGGATTTAAGTATTTTTATATTTTTATATCTTGAATTGTAAAAATGTAGGTTATTGTAATCTTGTAAAACGATTTTTAAGCATTAGATTGCAATCATACAGTAAGCAATTGTCTAGTAACATTTTAAACACGGCCAATCAAAGACAGAAATTAACAAAAACAATATTATTTTATAACCAGTAATGCATATTAGTTTAATAATAATATGTATTGTATTTTGTATTACATGTTTAATACTAGGTATTTTTAGCCATTATATTATGCAATAATTTTACTTTGGTTTGTAATGCTGTTGTTATTTAATAAAATATAAAAAATATACATTTCTATTAAAAATGTTGTTTTTAATGACAAGGACTACACATAATATCCATATTTCATAACCAGATATAAACGTATTTTGACCATCAGATTGTTATCATGTTGTATTGATAAGACAATTATGTAGACATTGGTCTACACGCATATGTCAGCTAACTTCAATTTTCGATATCTTGTTCGTTATCTAGTATTTTCTATCTGTGGTTTTTAGTAAAAAATTAAAAAATAACTTTTGTTTTAATATTTAAAAAAAATAAACTATACAGAATGGTTATTACAACAATTTCCGAAAATAATAAAACAAAGTTATTTTTTAAATTGTTTTGCTAAAACAAAAACATTTAATTCCAATATAAATATTTGTAATCCTTATCACTGTGAGTAATACAAAAAAACAGAGTTTAATTATCTTAATTTTCCCTAGAGATATTCAAGGGATTATTATTATTATTTTTGCCTTTTTTAGACATGGTAAAATGTTCAAAAAATTTAAGCCATTTTTGAAGTATTTATAAGACATTTTAATTTTGAGAGTTTTGTACGTAATATTTATTCGGTAGGTATACTGTGGTAAAATTGTTAGACTTGAACAGAAATGTTTCACAATTTAACAGAAGTTTAATTAGCAGTCTTACTTTGTGGTAAAAAAAAAATATTATAAAGAAAATATTATGTGGATCCTTCCCAGAAAAATTCTTAAATACGTCAATGCTAAATCGACCAACGAGTTATAGTTGATTTATTGTTACTTTTACAGATACACATTAAAATATTAAACTATCTAAAACAGTGAATGCATTCATTTCCATTATCCAGGACAGCCTTTTAATCTTTCAATCTTTTTTCAAGCTAAAGAACCACTTTTTCCTTATTATCTCAAATAGTAAAGATAATTTGGTACTTTCTGATTCTGAAGTACCAACTTAAATCAAAATGTAACAAAAACATATTTCTTGTTATGTTTTGATTGGAGCAAGATTTTAAGGAGAGAAAGTTTACAGACAGTTGTTTATAGACAGAAAAAAATACACTTCATAGTAAAACCAATAGATCCCTCGCTTCACTCAGAATTTAAAAAATGCATAATCATAAAGTATCCAATGGGTAGGTAATTTAAAGCCTGAATGATAAATTCTTTGATTTTTTATTTAATTATTTTTTTATGTAAAATTCATAATGCATTTAAACTGTAAGTGTACTATTATATACCATATTACCAATATAACTTGCATAATTTTCTGCACTTGATAATTTTTCGCTCCGTAACCTTTTAAATTTGTAAATAAGGCAGTAAAATTCACCGAACCTTGACCTTGATTTAAAGTTACAGACGGCACCGACATTGGATCTAAAGGTAATATCTGCATTTCTGGCATTCCTTTACTAGTAAACGGTCGAAGAGTTTCAAATATTTTTTTCAAACACTCGTTTATATTTGGGTCGTCTCGCTTGCATGGTTTGATAAATGAAGCTAAATAAAAAATGGATAGTATTTTAGAAATTAAGTTTTAAATTTCGAAATGAATACGATTATGTATATTTAATACTTACGCATACGAAACTGACGACAGTCGTTTCCACTAAAAACACATACACATAAAAATAATATTATGTTTTTATTAGTCATATCGATTTTTAATAAAGAGCTAGATAAATTCAATCTTCGACGATCAATAGCTAACTAATTTATGTGAAATATTTTATATAGTAGCTGGGTACTTGAATATATACGATTAGCGACACTGAATACCTAACAACCTTTTATTTCCTCAATATAATTAGGTAAATGGTAAAACCTACAGAATTTACCAGACATCAGGTTTATTGTCAAGGTCTTAACTTAAAATTATTACACTAGTTTAAGGATATTAGTGACTAAAAGGTTTTGTAAGTCATTATCTATATTTAACGCCCGAGGAATAAATATGAAAACATGTCAATTAAATAACCGAGTGTTTAAATAAATTATGAAAACGATTATCATTATAAAGATATTCAAAAAAAAAAAAAACGTCCTAGGGTAATGGGGACGGGTACAGTCAATATTATAGATAATTTAATGTAAACAACAATAAACCATTGCTTACGAAAATTCGATTCTGAGCGATGTTCAGTTAATGGTAATGTTTTGTCAACAATATATATGTTATTTTATAGTTAAATAGGTAATTAAATAAGTTTTATATATTTTCTTTAATAATGTTTGTTTAATGTTATACTGATTTTCTCAGTTTTCTACGTTTTTCCCGGTTTTTCATATTTGATGATAAATCTCCTGAGAAGATCGAAAAATAATCTCTTTAAAGTACTTCTCCAATGAAATTTTCTATTAGAAATATTGCTGTCATTAAAAGTTGGAGCAAAATTGCTGGTAGAAATGTTATGCACAGAAAAAAAGTAGGCCGTTATATATAGACCTCTTTTAAGTACCTTCCTACACCAAATTTCTTTCAAAAAAGGCGCTACACTTAGAAATCTGAGCTAGTCTTCTAGTAGAAAAGTTGTTAACAGAAAAAAAAATAAATTAACAAATAAATATCTTTTTAAAACCATAAACTTCTTCGCTCCACTCAGAATCTAAAAAAGGAATTTCTTGAACAATATTAATGACAATAATAATGTATTTGGAAGCTATAACTGCGTATTAAAATTAATTTTAGAATCGTAACTTACAAATCTTGGTAAAAGAGATTGATTTAAGGACTAGAATAGGAAGTTCCCGGGAAGGTCGAAATGCTTTCTAACAGAAATCACCAGGCATCAATGGGGATCTAAACAGTCGGTTTTCGAGACTGTCTGTGCTGTTATGGAGGCTGAAACGTATTTGTTTTCACTTAAAATATTATGACTCATAAACAGTATATCTAGTATAATACGAGTAACTATTATGCACATCAACATTTTTAGAAAATTATTCTTTTTCAACTTTATGTTAAAAAGTGGGGAGGTTGTTTCTTGAAAACAAAATTGTATACTCATTCAAGATATAAGGAGTAAGGATAAAATTTTTAAAATAGTGTTAAAGAAAACAAAGCTCACACAATTCCACATTGATTAAAAAGAAAACAGAAATTAATTTTTTTCTAAGAAAATTGTTGTATTATGATAAAAGAACCACTCTGTATATATAATAAATGATATAATATGCATATTGTATACGTATATTCTAAATTAGCGTATTATCGTTTATAAAGAAACATATAAACAAAATGTATTGTAACGTATTATGTATTGTGTAACGTATTATAGTACATTGATATACATAACACATATTATAGTATACCTTTTTAAACGCGGAAAACTAAAATTGTTTGTATATACAATCATTGTTGCGTACAAAACAATTTCCCATATTTAGATTTAGTATGTACCTTGTTTTATTATTTTAGTTGATTATTTTAGTGTCTTCACTTCAGTTTAGTGTTTGAAACAGATTAAGCAGATTTGAGGCAGTGCCTACACACCTTAACATAGATATTAAGTATTAGAAAAAATGACAAGTACTAGTTATAGTTTATGTTTTTTGGCACTTTTAATTTTTACAAGCAATATACGTTCCGAAAATGAATTAATCAGCCATACGCAATTGAAGAAGCTTCGTACGTTAAACTATAAAGATAATATAATAGTAATATATAAAGTTTAACATTATTTTTTTCAGATAATATGTTACGGACGTGTCACCGGAGTGATCCGAATCTGAACGATTGTTTAAAAAAAGCCATTGAGGATCTCAGGCCTTATCTCGCTGAAGGTAATACATTTTTTTTTTTGTAATTCTTTTAAATTTTATGGATGAATTTAAATATTCTGCCACATTATTGGCTAGACTATAATCAGTAGTTTGTTATTATCTAACCAGTTTTAAGTACTATAGAGTATACTGTCCATTATAATTATTTATTCATCAATTTTACTATGTAAATTTAGTCGAACATATTATGTTAAAACTATTAAAAGAAATTAATTTTGATTTTCACTCTATTATACAATATTATACTCACAGAATAACATAATATATCTATATGTTTTATTAAAATTAAATTATCCCTTGAAGTACTTTCTGTAAAACGTCATGTATAAAATTAAATATTAAAAAGTATTTTTTCATAGATCTTAAACTATACCCATAAAAGTGTATGCATTAACATTTGAAATGTAGGATTGTTCTACATAAAATTTAAAGCGTTGTTGCATGTAGGACAAATAAATAAATGTACATTATCCCCCCTATGTAGGACGGTTGGCAACCTTACCTATAACCCTTTGCGATTTGGTTTTTATTCTGTTTTATTCATATCAGGAATCCCGGAATTGTTTATTCCCTCTTGCGAACCACTATATATACCCGAAATTGTAATGAATCAAGGAAACAAAGGTAGCGTCAGTGTACAATCAATTTATCGAAATATTCGAGTGTATGGACCAAGTCAATTTGTATTGAAGAGTGTTAAGTAAGTTCAAAATATACATTTGAAAATAATATATCATCATTTTGTATGTAAAATATTTTTAAAATAATAGAATTTTTATTATATAAATTATAAATGGGTATTTAATATAGACATACCGTTTAGAAAAACTAAACATACTTTTTAAAATTGATGTTCGGAAAATAATGTACATATAATTGCTACTCAGTATCTGTGCGTGAATAAAATGTAAGGGGAGACTTAACTTTTGTGTAACTTTTGGTTATTTATATAATATATTTTTACTTGCGATATTAGTATTTATTCAATGGCGTATCCGATTAACTTAGCTTAGATTAATTTAGTTTTAGATTCCGAGCATAGCGAGGGAGTTAATGGTTTTACAATGCTGTTTATTTCTTTTTTCTTCTTCTTCTAGTCTGTGGACACTTTTTTTCTTGTAAACTTGCTTCGATTTTTACGTGTAGCAACTTTTTTGAAAGCTCAAGTTATCTAAATGGTACATTAGAGAGGTCGTTGATTTTCAACGTCATTTTTCGATTAAAAATACTTAAATGGGAAAAAACGTAGGAAAACGTAAAATTGTATTGCTTTATAAAAAACGGATGACGTTTTCTACCAGAAAAAATGATTTAATTGAAAAATCACTAGACAACTTCTTTATTGTCTTTTTGATTTTTTTTTTTCTTATGGTATCATCGCCAAAATTGTTGAACCACTTTTGAGCTTTTAAGGAATTTTAATTTTTGGAAGTTTTTTGCTGTAATTCAGTTATAAATACATGTAGAGACTTGAAAATTGTTAACAATACTTATATTGGACTTACCTAGGCGTGATAAAATTTTCAAAATCATCGGACGACTAAACGAAAATCGCAAAAAAAAATTACGGCACTTCAATTATGTATTACTGAATTGCGCTTGGAATCGTTTTTCGTCAAGCAATGGTTTATCGCTGCTTACAAATATAAATGTAATAACCTTATAAATCCTACCTTTCCAACTTCTCACCTACAATAGTGGCTGCACCCGTCCCCAGTATCAGCTATTTTTTAAATTTACATCCTTCATCATACATAAATGAATGAAATTTGTTGTCAATTGTATGTAATGTACAATGTTTTAATTCTATATTATTATTTTTTAATAAAAAAACGCGGGAAGTTTACGACGCATATGTACACAATAAATACGGAATAACGTGTCACCCGGTGGTAGAGACTATTTTTTTATAAAATTGTTTTATTATTTTTTATAGTCTCATGGACTCCATACAAAAATCATTATCGCTGTGATTCCGCCCCACCGCTGAACTTTTATTTACCACTTATCTATTAAAACAGAGATTGTCGATCGACCGTCTCATTCGTTTTACGACCGTGTCGTCTGTCGTAATCGCTAATTCTGAAAATACCTCAGAACGTATATGCAGTAATTCATACCTCTACACACGACACGATGGAGATAATATTTATGTATACATACAATAAACAATATAATAAATATATATATAGTAAATATAGGTGACAAAAGTAGATTTTCACATACATTACACTAATAATCGAAAATATTTTTAAAAACATTACATATTTTTGTAATGTTATAATTATTGGGGAGACGCCACCTTAAAGTTTCTTCTGACGTATTGCTCCTGTTGCTACTTAAACTTTAAAATTTGTCTACTAAATACTACTAAAAATAAATTAAAAAATATAAAACTTCCAAATAGATAACAATTCGAATAAACATGTTTTGTTTCAAAAGTAAGAACCTTCATATTAAAAAATATTTTCGTTAAGTGGTTTATTTTGACAAAAATTAATTTAATATTTTATTTTCTTTTTACATTATTTTTTTTTTTTACTGGAGACCAGCGTTTCTTAACCTGTAGTACGCGTACCACTAGTGGTACTTGGATAGCTCATAAGTGGTACGTGAAGAAATTTTTTGATAAATGAAAAAAAAAAGTTATAGTACAGTTTATTAATCCGAAAATATTAATAAAAATAATAACCAAACATATTTAATTTTACTTTTGTGTATGTATTTTTGTATTTAATGGTTACATAATTATGTAGATTAAATAATAAAAAGCTCCATACATGTAAAATAAATTACACATTTTACTTTTTGATTAGTAAAAAAAAAAGTTGAATAATCGTATCAAGTGATACGTGAAAAATGTCAAAATGTGTTAATGGTACGCGGATATAAAAAGGTTGAAAAATGCTGTTGTAGACATATCCGTGAAGGTTGGCCTCCCGACTTTATCCGATCGATTCGAAAAGTGTGCCAATATTTTGCAAATTAATTGCAAATAATTTTAAATTGATTTTTAGAATTTGCAAATCAACACTTTTTTTTCGCGAATGTTTGAAAACATTTTGAATCAAATAGTTCATTCATTAATACCCAATCATTTTTTAATTAAAATTATTTTTTATGTCATAGTGTAGTTTATACGCGACTAGTTTTAAGCATAGTAATCATAATTAATTATAATAACAATATAGGTAGTAAGAACACGGCCAGAAAGATATGCCGAGATGACAGAATAGAAATAGGTACTTATCCTATATAACACAACAACGGTCACGAGAAAGGGGCTGTTCAATTTCACAAGGTTTGAAGAACAGCAGTTGTGAGTGACGATTGTTTGTTAAAATCTAACTTGAAAAGTTAATTTTCTGTATTCATTGTTATTTTATTTTACTTTAAACTAGGATAAAACTAAAATACACTAAGAATATTTTAGTGATATATCCCACCGAGATACGTTTGTGGCAATGAACCACTTTTTCTATATAGTAGAACAGTATTGTACTAATATCTCATCCCAATACTCGTTATAATGGTTAGTTGTTTCGCGGGTAAAGCGACTTAAGAGTTATATGGTATAAATCCTGAGAATTTCTGAATCAAGATTTCTTTTGTGCAGTATTCGTTATCTTGGTCACCAAAAGAGTGGATTGTTTTAGTTTCTTTGTCACAGGTATCGATATTTACTCGTTTGACGGTCTGGGGAATTTGAAAACCAAAAATATCTGTTGCACGCGTCAACCCTTTGCGTGGCGCATACAACAAAGTAGCACGGCCCACTTTAACTAAATAGTACTCGTTATCGTGGTCATTTAGTCCACAAATCTAGAGTAGGTAACCAGTGTTTAGAACGTCGTGGCGCACAAGGAGTTACATTTCCTTGGTCGTTCGGTTAGTAAAGCTGGTTACCGAAGGTTTTGGGGTTCGTTCAAATACTTACGGCCGTATGCGTCCAATGTAAAACCTTGCGTACACGACAATAGGCACAAGAATGATCATCAAAACTAATAGTCGTTTGTTGTTGTAGTTGGTCTATTTATAATAAAAGACACTCAGGTTTTTAATATAAGTATTAACTAAAACTACGGGTCTCTATTAATTTGCAAAATATTGGCATACTTTTCGAATCGATCGGGCAAATTTGGGGGGGGGGTTGTGTAAAGTTTGTCCTAAAAAGATTTCGGGTTATAAAACTGGAACGACTTATTTGCAAATTCTGATAATTAATTTGCAATTATTTGCAATTAATTTGCAAAATATTGACATACTTTTCGAATCGATCGGATATAATCGGGGGGCCAACTTCACGGACATGCTGTGGTCTATTTATATTATAATAAATTAATCGTGAAAAGTGTTAATAATATTAAATATTTTCATATTATATTGCAGAGTGGATATGGAAAAAGAAAGACTTCAAATTAAAGTATGGTTACCTTTTTTGCATATGACGGCCAATTATTCGATTGAAGGCAGAATTCTCATGTTACCCATTTCTGGAGCTGGCCTAAGTGAAGGAAATTACAGTAAGGCGTTTTAAATATGTTCTTGTCGGATTTTAATTCGTTTTCCTCATAATTTTAGATTCTGAGTGAAGCGAGAAATCTATGGTTTCACTATATTTTATTATGATGTGTGTGTATTTTGTAAAATTTTAAATTCAAATTTAAAGTTTTTTTTTTGTCTGTAAACTTCGCTCCGAATCGTTTTTTGTTAGGAATGGTTTATAATTGTTTACAAGTATGAATTAAATAACTATGTATCCCAACTTTCCCACTACCCACCTACAACAGTGGCCACACCCGTCCCCAGTATTAGCTTTTATTTTTTTATTGATTTTTTGTGCCTGTGAATAACTTTTCATCAGAGCAGATATCTTGCTCAAATCTAAAAACGACAAGAGAGCTTTTTTGTAGCATCCAAAATATCGTTGGTGCCTTGGCTAGGTTTGTTTCAATTTGTTTATAGTTTATTGTTTATAGTTTTCTTATTAGCAGGGAAAAAGTGTAGAAAAAACGGGAAAGTTTACGGAATAACGGTTTTATTATTTTTGATTTTGGTTTTGATTTTTTTTTGTAATTCAGTTAAAAATAATCCAAAGAATTTGTAAAAAATACTTATTATGTCCTTTTCTAGACTTAGAATATTTTTACAATATTCTGATGATTTTTTAGCTATTTATAAGCTATTTATATATTATATATAATATTATATCTTTTAGTTATGTATATCTGTAACATAAATTTCACTACTGAAATTTTATTTTTTTTACAAGATAGATATACAATTATATATATTTATAGATGTCAGTCTTGTAAAGTATTTGAGTAAATATATTTAAATAAATGTATTTAAATTCTATCTTGGATGTATTTGTATTTGAATTTCAAATACTTCTATGTATATACTTTTCTTAATCTATTTAGAATTTAAAATCCCGTATGGTTATTTAATATTTTAAGTTATAAAATAATAGGTTAATTATAGTTTATATTTCGTGGTTAGGATCTTATGATATCGTATTCGTTATAAACTTAGTAGAACGAAGTAAAACAAACGCAAATTGACAGTGTACCTAATGACGAGCATTTGATAAGCATTTGACATGTAGTTTTTGTAGTTTTATTTGGATAAAATTGTGTTGATGGATCATACATTTTTAAAAATTTAATACAAGGTTCATTATAAGTTTTACTTTTTATTTAAAAGAAAAATAATATAGTAATTATATTTATAGACAACTTTAAGGTTAAATTTTGAGGAAACTCATACAAATTACGACATTTTAAAATATGTTTAACCGAACTTCGCTCAGAATTGTACTTCGTCAGCAATGATTTATCGTTGCGCACAGGTATATATTAAATAATAATATGTATCTTACCTTCCCAACTTCCCACCTACAACGTTTCCACACTTATCAGTAATATCAGCTCTTTTTTTTTGTTTTAGCTAACATTGCGGCAAATGCTCTAGTCCAAGGTAACACTATTATAGTAAACGGCAAAAAACACTTTAATGTCCAAGATGTAGCCATTGATTTTCAAATTGGCCATGCAAGTATTTATCTTAGTGATTTGTTCGAAGGCGACAGTGAACTAGGTAATGATTTATTGGTTTATTATATAATATTGTATTTGTATTTTACATATAATATTATGTATACCTGTAACATAAATTTCACTACTGAAATTCTATTTTTTTTTTTACAATATAAATAGATATACAGTTATATATATTTATAGATGTCAGTCTTGTAAAGTATTTGAGTAAATATATTTAAATAAATGTATTTAAATGCTATCTTGGATGTATTTGTATTTGAATTTCAAATACTTCCATGTATATAATTTTCTTAATCCAAGAATTCAAAATCCCGTATGGTTATTTAATATTTTAAGTAATAAAATAATAGGTAAATTATAATTTATATTTCGTGGTTAGGATCTTGTAATATCGTATTCGTTATAAATCTAGTAGAACAAAGTCAAACAAACGCAAATTGACAATGTACCTAGTGACGAATGAGACAGAAATTAAACTACTATGGGAGGCTTACAACAAACATTTTCATATTAACACTTTGAAAAAACTATGCTGCTATACAGCAATACAACATTTTGAGAATGATTTTAAATCCTATTTCATTAACATTTGTTTAATTCTCTTAAAGTATTAAACTGTTTCAGAATTAATATACAGCACATTTTAGATTCTGAGTGGAGTGAAAAAGCTTATAATTTATAAAGATGTATTTTTTTTTATCTGTGAACAACTTTTCTACCAGCAACTTGCTCAGATTGTTAATACATTTTTAAGTGAAGCACTTTTTCTGAAAGGAAATCGGCGTGGGGAGGTACTTAAGGGTGGTCATTTTTCGATTTTCTCAAGAGTTTTGTCATCAAATAAAAAAAACCGAAAAAAAACAAGAAAATGTACGAAACATAATAAATATAATCTTACGATTTTTCTTTTTTGTTGACAACTTTTTTACTAGCAATTTTGCTCCAAATTTTAATGATTGTTATGTTTCTAAATGAAAATTTCACTAAAGAGGTACTTTAAAAATGGGAAACTATAAGAAATGTAGATAATTAGTTAAAATATATTACGGCCTTTTTTTCTGTGTACAACTTTTGTGCCAGCAATTCGCTCCAATTTTTAATGATAGCAATGTTTCTAAAAGGAAGTTTCACTAGAGAGGTACATTAAATAGGTTATTTTTCGATTTTCCCAAGAGTTTTCCCAGCAAATGTGAAAAACCGGAAAAATCGTAGGAAAACTGGGAAAATTGATACAAAATTAAACAAATATTATTAAAAGAAAATATATAAAGGCTATTTAATTATTTTACTACAAAATGACATATATATATTGTTGAAAAAGCATCACTGTCAACTGAACTATACTCAGAATCGTTTTTACGTAAGCAAGGTTTATCGTTGCTTACAGATATTTTTAACAAATTTATTTTCTCCGTACTTATTCAATACAATTTTTATTAGGTGAAGCAATGAACACGTTCTTGAATGATAATTGGAGACACGTCGCGCAAGAGTTCAAACCTATACTTGAAGAAACGATCGGTGATCTGTTCAAAAAATTCGCCAATAAATTATATCATAAATATCCAATTGACGATATACTACCAATATAAAAAATGATTATCTACTATAATATAGTTAATATTTCAGATTAAGTATACGTATAAATATTTGACATGGATTTTATATAATAATAATTATTTATTTTTTCGGCCAAGTTACAATTATACACTTTTTTTTTACAGTAATTTTGGCCTTATTCATCACTGAGGAAATCTTAGATATATAAGATTAATTTGTATATTTATATATTTTTAATATTTAATTCATATATTAATAATTATAAGATTATTAGTCTTAGGTACCTATTTAATATAAAGTATAAAACAAAAATAATAGGTATATTCAACCGTTTGTTGTATTACTAATACAGTGTTCCACTTATAAGTATGGATTGGAGGGAAGTAGTGGATCATCATTAATTGCGTGGCAGCATGGCGTTTGAATAGTGCTCCACTACTCTCCTTCTACCTACAAAACAGCAAACTCAAATGAGTATATTATCCCCCGTTAACGGATTGACGAAAATGTTACCATAATATATCTTAATATATTTAAAACTTCATCTATTAATACAATTATTAATATAAGTTTCTATTTAATAATCAAAAGTAGGCAGTGGTTTCACCCTCAGAAATCAATGGTGGCAAAAATAATGATAATGTAACATATTAGAGCTCCTTGTTTCTTAAACGTTCTAAAAAAACAAATTCAAAAAAAAAACTTAATACTTTTTGAGATAAATATATTTTGTTATGTTGATCTTTATATTACATGTTACATAGTCGATAATTCGATATTTAAAAATATATATATATTTATATACCTATGTAATCATCAGTTAATATATAATAATATAATATATATGGCAGACCAATCAAACGTAAGTATTCGACGTACGGATAATCGACCGCGGATAAAAACTTTCTCTGTTGACTAGGTACCTATAACACGTTCAAACTAGTCTTCTTTGATACTTGTAATATTACGCCAACATCCCGTGTATAACCGCTGTCTGGTGTGTATGGATTTGGTCCGTTTTATTTCCGTCTTTCGAATGGTTTCTAACACAGAAAGAGATTTTATACCGATTTTTGTTTCAATCGTTGTCGGTCGTTTAGAGCGTGCGCATAACGTTGTATACAAAACATTTAAATTACCGTGATCGCGATATCTAACAATTATTACAAAAACAAAATACATATACCGTATACCAAATACCTATACACAACTATAACTGTGAATTATTTAAATCATCACTATCATCACTATGCTATTTGGTACGGTCATCATCGTCTGCGCTACGGTTATAGTCTCCAATTGCATAGTGACGATTGAAGCGACTAATAGCCATCAAAGGTCGGTACAACAAGATCAGATACCACCACTGCAAATCGCACGTAAGAATATATTTAATAATCGCTTGATAATCTTTTTATACGTTTTTTGATGGTTTTAACGGTAAAAACGAAAAAATGAATACTAATTTTTTTCATTTATTACACTTTTGATAAATATTATAAGCAGTTAAATTATTGATATTTTTAAAATAAATGATAAGAGTGCAATAATATTTTAACCTCTGCAAGCTTGTCTTCTTATTTTTAGATACCTACCTTAGATAATTTGGAAGTAGCGCACTATTTGGAGCGATGATACCTTTTTTGTAGCGATATTGATAGCGCACGGTTTTATTTTAAATGGCATATACTTTAAACTGTATAGCTTAGAATCGTTGCCTATATCCAATATTCACGAGTATAATAGCCGTGGCACAACAAGTTTAGCAAATATTCTATATTGAACGTGAGTTTATACAAAATACAAATTGTGGGTTGCTGTTTGGAAATCAAAAATTGATATAACATATGTGATGTTTTTGTATTGTGAACGTTTTTAAATTCTAAGCGTAGTGAGGAAGCTATTGGTTTTACTAAGATGTTTATTTTTTTTCTTTGTTTCTTTTAGTCTGTGAACACTTTTTTTCTTAATAAACTTGCTCCGATTTTAACGCGTAACATTTTTTCTGAAAGTTGTGTAGATGGTACTTTAAAAAGGTCGTTTTATGATTTTTGGCGTCATTTTTTAAATAAAAGCACTTAAGTGGGAAACAACTTAGGAAAATGTACAATTTCACGATTTCATTATTTTATAAAAACACAGACGATGTTTTCTACCAGAAAAAATGATTTAATCAAAAAATTAGAAAATATCTTTTTTATTGTCTTTTTGATTTTTTTTCTTACGGTATCATCACCACAAATTTTAAGCTATTTATGAGCTTTTAAGGAATTTTAATTTTTGGGAGTTTGTTTGATGTAATTCGGTTATAAATACACGTAGAGATTTGAAACTTTGTAATAATACTTATATTGGACTTGCTTAGATGTGGTAAAATTTTCAAAATCATCGGACGACTTTTTTTTTTAATAAGAGTTCTGAAATCAAATTTAAACGAAAATCGCAAAAATAATTACGACACTACAAATTATGTATTACCGAACTACGTTCGGTTTGTTTATCGTTGAGATTATACAGATATAAAATAAATAACTTTAAGTATCCTATTCTCTTAACTTCTTACCTACAACAGTGACGCATCTAAAAACATTATCAGCATTTTTATTATTTTAATGGATATGAAATAAGAGTAAAATTTTGAAAATATTTTGTAAATACGTAAACATCGTAAGATCATCGTCAAACAATTCCATAAACACAATAATCATGTAAACTTTATTTATCTGTTTCGTATTTGATAAAATAATCACCTGGTATAATATAATTGCATATTCGAACAGTGAGGTGGTGTACCGCGATTATTTCCTCCGACCGACAGACCACGGTGGAATGTTTCGGAACAATACAGAGACCACTGTATGAAACCGTACAGATGAACCTACGTTTTTATTTTAAGTACTCCTGTTGACGAATTGGCTTCCTAAACAGGTTAAAAACAATTGGTATTTAACAACATTGGACAAACGAAAAGCGAAAACATCTAATGATAGTGTTATTAGGTTTCATTATAATATTTAGGTAATCTCTTATAATATCTGTTGTAGTTTGGTCCCAAAGAAGAAAGATTTAAATAAATTGTCTATAGTTTGTAATACAAGTGAATTAAATGTTTTAAATATAATATATACTATACTACATTTTAGTACTTACATATTAGGAAATCAAATTATTAAAAAGAACATTTTTTTTAAATAAAATAACATAAACAAAATTATAGTTATAATATTATCACATTAGTAATGATAATAAAAATTATTATCTAGACAATTAATCACAGTAATTATAGTGATCTAGAGCAGCTTTGTGAGACAGAGATATATCTACTCTCCAGGAATGCGGCAGCTTACGTTAAAGCTATAGGAATGACCTATCCATTCTTTATTAACTATGGCTGTTAATGATAAATATGTTCAGTGGTGCAAACAAAGGGGAATTTAGAAAGTCAAATCCCTCCCCTCGAAATATTTTTCTTTACGGCATTTTTTTAAATCAAGTTTTACTTTCAATAACAAAATATCTTATACTACAGTATAAAATAAAAAAAATGTCATCAAAAATTATTTATTCAGTAATAATAGTGTTAATGTGTTAATACTGTACTTATAATATGTGCTATCCTCTCTCTAGGAAATTATTATAAACAAAATCCCTCCAGAAAAAAATCCTGTGTGTGCTAATGAATGTGTTGGGCGATAATGAAATTCGTTTGCGTGTACTTATCACATTTATTGTTTTATCGTATTGTGAAACACACAAAAAACACTTCGTTATATGTCAGTGTAAAAAAAAGCTAGGTAAGTTAAAACAAATTAAATTTAGTAATGATTGAATCTTTAAAATACGTTATATAATATGGAAACTAAGTAAAATGGCATTTCATAATATTACAAATACCTATGACGACAAGTAAGATTAATTGTAGAATTAAATACTTAGTCAATATATTGTTTAACTACTTGGAGGGCAGGACGTATAAGTATACTTAAATAAATACAGATAAGTAACTACTATAGTAAATTACGTAAATAAATTAATAATTTATGATCTAACCTTCCCAGAAAATGTAAAAAACCGTGAAAAAACATGGAGAAAATCATTACGATATTAAACAAATATTATAAAGAAAATATATAATGTCTATTCAATTATTTACCATAATATGACATATATATTGTTGACAATGCATCATTATTAACTGAATTCCGTTCAGAATCGTTTTTTCGTTAGCAATAGTTTATCGTTGCTTACAGATATACATTAAATTCTATTCTGTATCCAACCTTCCCAACTTCCCATTTACTCAGTGGCTGCATCCACGAGCGAGTATGTCCGTCTTTTTATTTTTGTAAAATAGTTGTTCGCTGTTATAAAATTATAAAAATGGTCCGGAATTAGCCGAATACCATTCAAACATTCGATAATTAAATTGAAAATTAAACTTTACATTATATTATATAGGATAGTATTGTTACGTATTTGTAATATTTCAACATGCTCCCTGTGGGAGGCGAGGATCAGATATTCCCACGGTACCTCTATCTGTCATAAGAGGCGACAATGTAGTTGCGTCAGATCGATGGCCCATATAAATTCTATCAAACAGTATGAGAAATTTTAAACAAGAATTTAGCAAATTTTCCTATCTGGCCATCTCGGATGTGCGCGTGGACAACAGGCGAGAGGAGGTATCATGGAGCATGATGTTTTATGGATAATATTATAGCTTTGATAGGAGAAAATTTGGAATAAGTTAACAGAAAGCTTTAGGAATAGAGATTAGTACTTGAAGGAAAGGGACTAAAGATAGGTAGAAGCAAAACTGTAAAATAGAGTACGAGTTTAGAGGAACAGAACAAAACAACTAACGATAATAAGCAGTTATAGTCGAGGTTGATTGTTTGAAATATCTATTATCTTTCATACAAAAGAACAATGGCTTTCATGAGCTTGTGAAACATAGAATTTTGTGTGGTTGGATAAGGTAGTGGAGTAACTTTTTAGATTCCGATTGGAGCGGGAAGCTTATGGTTTTACAAAGATGTTTATTTTATTTTATTTTTTATTTTTATTTGTGCGCAAATTTTTTACCATCAACTTTGCTGGTACGAACTTATTCAGACTTTTAAGTGCAGCACCTTTTTTAAAAGAAAATCGGTATGAGGAGGTACTACAAATGTGAAAAACCAAAAAAAAAAAACAGAGGAAAAACGAGAAAAACGTAGGAAAACCGGGAAAATCGGTACAATATTAAAAACATTTTATTAAAAAAAATATATAAAGCCTATTTAATTATTTCACTATAATATGACATATATATATATATATATTTGACAAAGTATCAATATCCATTGAGCTCCCCTTAGAACCGTTTTTTTGTAAGCAATGGTTTATCGTTGTTTACAGGTATACATTAAATTACCTATAACAATGGCTATACCCGTTTCCATTATCCTAAGACGTCTTTTTAAGTGCTCTAAAGGTAGTTATTTACGCCTTATAAAATAATCTTACCTTATTCATTGATTTTCATGAAGGGGGATCAATGGTGGTAGATTTGGTACATAAAATAATGTAGGTTCCGTCCCCCTTTATCCTAGGACGTTTTTTTAAGTTGATTTCAAAATACTTATAAATGAACCCATTTTACATTTGTATACAGATATAAACAAATTGGTAAATAAATGGGAGGGGAGTCTAAATTCTAAGAAGCAGGGGTTTTTTTTTTATTAGTTTAGGGGTTTCTTTTAGGTAAATTTTGTCCAGTCTACACATTATCTATTATATCATTAAGTGTAACATTTTCGATAAGAACCATCATATAATAACTTAAATTAGATACTTACTTAGGTATCAGTACCTATCACGTTTGCGCATTTGTATACAACGTAAAATATGTTCCTAATTAAGTAGTTCCTATATAAAATACTGATATTTGTATTTTTGTATATATTTAACAGGCATGGTCCAATAATAAAACAGTAATTACAGCAACGATATAATAGTGAATATAATGTAATAAATAGTTACAACTAAAAAACAAAATAGAATCAGTAACGTAATAAATATTGGTAATAACAATAGTAAGAATAATATTAATAATTTAAAAGAAATTTAGGTGCTCATTACCTTATAGACGCATCATTCAATGAATAGGCACACAAGGTGTTTGTTAGTTCCTATCAGAGACGGTAATATGGTATGGTATAATTATATCCCTTTCGGTATCGCTTCCGCCGCACTCGTTTGCATATTGCATAATGCATATACATATAAGTAAGTAGGTACCTATATCTAAATATATAATATAATATCGACCATACACGTAAATCGATTGTAATAATATTACGTGGGTATACGAGACCTTAAAATATTATGATCGTCACAAACAACAACGTCGTCAAACGACCGCCATCATAAAAAATAATAATACGTGCTACCGTAATATTATTAGGTATTAGTTTTTACTTTCTCCGCCGAATGGGAGCCGCGGGATCTGTGTACCTATATGATTAAATATTCGAGCTCGATAGAAAGAGAGAGAGAAAAATAAGACATTTTTTCTTTTATTATTATTATATATTATTCACTTTCATCGATACACGAAAGCGCTTACTTAATAGTTATATTATATAGGTTATAAAATGAGCCTGGTAGTCAGCCCAGACCAAATCAGGTTCTGTCCGTAGTCGCTCGAGGGCAGTATTTTATAATAACAAACAACCTATAATACCTACTGTTATTTCATATCTACATACATATAGTATATAATATATATTCAGTCAGAAGTGGATCCAAACAAGATAACAGGGGGGGGGGGTTGAAAATGTATATAAGGGACGTATTTATGATGAGCTCAATATTGAATCAAGTTAAGAGTATACGAGGACCGTGATACCCCCCTGGCCTCACCCCTATTGTCTTCCCTGAATCCACCCCTGTACTCAGTGCTTAATATATTTACAACACATACACATTGTTTGGTGGTGTCTGTTGTTTACATTTACTGGGAAAACTCTTAGGAAAATAAAAAAATTACCTATCTAAAGCACCTTCCCGGTCAAATGTCTTATTAAAAAAAGTTCTACCGTTGTAAATCGGAACAAAATTACTAGTAGAAAAGTTGTTCACAGGAAAAAATGAAGGCCATAATATTTTACTAATATACAGGCTGTCCCATGAAGATACACCCCTTGAATATCTCTGGAAATAATAAAGATATTCAAATTATGTTTTTTTTTTTATATTACTCACAGGGATGAGGACTACAATTATTTATAATTGAATTCAATATTTTTTTCTGTTAAAAAAATTAATTTATTTTATTATTTTCAGAAAATTTTAAAATAGCTATTCTGTAGAATTTATTTTTCTGAGAATTGTAATGTATCACATATTTATATCCGATGAATAGTTTTCAAGTAACTGCCGTTTTAAATTCTATTAATCCGTGTGAAAACCTATGTTATTGCTTAACACGGTTAAGTTATTCCCTAAATAACATCGGTTTTCACACGGATTAGTAGAATTTAAAATGGCAGTTACTTAAAACTATTCATTGGATATAAGGGGTAAGTCTTCGTGGGACAGCCTGTATTTCGTATATTTTCCCTTTTTTTTTCGGTTTTTAAATTTCATGAGAAAACTCCTGAAAAAGTCGAATAATGACCTCGCTAAAGTACCTGTCCACACTGATTTCCTTTCGGAAAGGTACAACACTTAAAAATTGGAGCAAGATCTCTAGTAGAAAAGTTGTCTATGGAAAAAAAAATAAACATCTTTGTAAAACCAACACAATTTTCGCTACATTTAGGGCCGTTCTCACTAACGTAATAAAAGAAGTTTATCTAATTCTTAAACTGAGTTTATGGCTGATAATCGACCACGATTGGTCGATTATCTTATAAACCCCGATAAAAGTCAACGTTTACGTTGGTGAGAACGAGCCTTAGAATTTAAAAGAATCATTATTTAATATCAGTAATTATGTTCAACAATATTTCTAACTAAATATAATTTTTTTTTTCTAGTAGAATTGTAGTAGTAGGTAAATTAGTTGATAAATTTAATCAGCAGATAAGAATTATATCTAAAAAAAAAAAGAAAAAGAGTTGATACTAGAGACACTGTTATAGATGGGTATAGTAGGGAAGGTGGAAGTAATATTAACATATATATTGTATATATATGTATATGAACATAGGAACATAAAGTTATTTATGTTTTTAAATTCATACCAGTAATCAACAATAAACCATTGATAACGAAAAATGATTCGGAGTGAAGTTTGGTTATACATGTTTTGATTTTATAACTTAAAAAAAAAAAATGGTAATTTCGTCCGTTTTGATTTTTCTTAATTATTATGAAAAATACGTTAGATATCAAATAATGACTTTCACTGTCAATGGCTATATATTCTAAGAAACAAAATCTGTTTTTCATTTTTAGACTGGAGTAATATTTCTGGTAGAAATCATAAATTGAACATATTGAAATAATTAAACTGGGTCTGGGACGGTACGTGTTGCTGTAAATATTAATCGATTTATATTTTTGGTATTTTACAATTACTTAGAAAACTAATTTGGTTATTGGAAAAAGGTGCCGTGCACTTTCCGCCCGTGTGTTTTCCGTTCAACACCTTTTTTGTGCTATTTTCACTCGTTATCGTATACCTGCTGAAATTATGTAAGATGGACTATTCGATTACAATTTAAAATTTAAAATTATGTATACATTTTACAAATTATTATAGTTATGATTCTGATTTCAAATAAATAACAAATAATAAATGATAGTTACAGTTACAAATTATATTACACGTACATTTATAGATACATACTTATATGGATTTCCATCATAACTAATAAGTACAATACACCGAATTTATCAATGAAAGGCTTGGGCTTGGAGCATACATATCAGTAAAACAAAGATTACGTATATATACATTTAGATCAACGTACCAAACAAATAAATACAAATTTCTAAAACGATAAAAAAATTTAAAAAAATGTTTATTAAATTGTTTGTTCAAAAATTAAATTAGATTAAATAATTATGAAAAAAAAAGTTATAATAATAAGTTAACAATTATGTACCTACTTGTAATACAATATTTTAACAAATTAAATACACGTTAATTTATAATTTTAAATTTTTAGCGGATATTCTACCTTGTATAATTTCAGTAGGTAAAAGATCAGCACGAAAAAGGTAATGAGCGAAAACCGCACGGACAGAAAGTGCCCGACACTTCGAAAAACGATTTACTCTGTTAGTAGCAAAATATTAATAGGAACAAAATCGGTCAAATGTCATTTTACGATTGAAGTAACATTTCTGGTAGAAAACTTAAGTATAACGCAATGAAAACAATGAAAGCGGTAAAGCCACGGCGCATCGCAAATACTTGTCTTTTTACCAATAATTTTCTTTCGATTTTTTCAAATTATTTCGAAAACCAACGAAAGTTGGTAATAATAATTACAATTTTCGTCAAAATTTAATTTTAACTTAAAAAAACTTAAAAAAATTTTTTTTATATTATATTACACTCAGTTTTATTTTTTAAAACAAAATGTATTTGTTTTTTTTGTTACTTATCCGGTGAGGTTTTGCAATAAAAAATTATCTAGTGTTGTTATTATAATGCTACATAAGTCTGATTTTATTTTTTATAAATAAGTGTACAAGCACCTAGCTGTTATCAAATGTTTGCCAAATTGTATTGATTAATATTTATAAACAACTCATTATACGATTATATAACATTTTATTAAATTAAATATTAGTAGATAATTTCAAATTACTTTCAAAAATACAATTATTTATCTAATATTTATTTAATAAATGTGTATAAAATATATACGATATTAAAGTCAGAGATTGTTGTATATAAGTATATTATATTATATTAATGTTCTCAAACACTTTATTTATTATTTTTACAGCTGTTTGGTTAAACGCTTGTAAAAAGAAAGACCCGAATTTGGACGAATGTATCCGTATGACATTTCAGAACATGTTCCCTTATTTGGCAAAAGGTAATGTATACGAAATAAATAAGTAATAAAAAATTGCGTTATATTATAAAACTAATGTAAACATGTATCGGATTAGGTATAGCCGAAATAGGAACCAGCCCGTTCGAACCTATGCACATTGACAGAGTTGCGCTAACTAAAGGCCAGGGTGCTGTGACTCTTTCCGGAGCATTCACAAATCTTATCGTTCACGGACCGAGTAATACAACTGCTTTATACACCAAGTAAGTGGGTTTTAAATATAACTTACATACAAAAAAATACAAAATGTTTACAAAAATGTATAAACATAAATTTAAGTATCTAATTGAAATGACATATCCACGATCTTAGGAAACTTTATATGGTTTAGAAAATACAGCAAAAAGTATTTATAAATTTAATATTATTTTAAATTCAAACGTTTCCTGAATTATTTTGAAACATTATTTATATTATGTTGTACTCATATTTTTACTATACCAATATGTTTTACAATAGCCATTTAAATTATTATTTTAAAAGCGTTAAACAAATACTTGTAAATATATATTATAAAATACCTAATAATATATCTAATAGCTTACCAGTTCAGTAAACAATTTGTTACTCAAAAATGTTATGAAATAAAATTGTAAATAAAAAAGTAGGTATAATCTGCAAATTATTATTGCAATATAATTATGAAAACTTATTAAAATGTGGTTGTTTGCAAATAATTCTAAATTACTTAGTTATTTAATAATAATAATAAAAACAAAAATCGATATTATCAGGATGGATTTAAAAAAAAATCGTTTTGACATTGGACTCTTCATACCAACAATCAAAGTAGAATCAAAATACGATCTCAAAGGCAATCTATTATTATTACCACTTGTTGGTGTAGGCGACGCTAAACTTTATCTAAGTGAGTAAATTTTGACAAAAAATGAAAAAAATAATATTGAGTAAATAATAAAAATATATGTTACTAATGTTTAATTATTAGAGAATGTAACTACATATGTACAAACAAAAATTTACTTCCCCAAATATATGAACGAAACCGTCATGGTAGCCAGCAGTATGAAAGTGGACTTTAATTTGGCAGCTATGCGTGTGAACTTGGATAATTTATTTAACGGCAATAAAGTATTGGGTAAGAAAATAAACCAAAATTACTTAATATTTTAACGCCTTGCTAAAGGAACCCATTTTTTTAATAATTATTTTATTCTATCTGTTATCCACAGGGAGAACTGTTAACCAATTTTTGAACCAGAATGCATTAGAAGTGGTAGATGATTTAAAGGAAAACATAGGTGAAAACCTATCGACTATATTCAAACAAATTATGAATGATGCATTTAGTCACATACCAACAAAATTATGGCTCCAAGATGATTAGTTTACTCATATAGATATAGTAAATAGTTATACATAAAATGTAAATACAGCCTATTTCGAACTATTTTGTCTATGTTCGTGATTTATGATTTAATACCTCTTATTTTAGTTTTTTTTTATTTGTACAACTATGTTACTATCTATTTTATTATATAAGATATTATAATTATTAAAAATGTCTAAAGAGGAATAAAAATCATTGATATGTGTTCCTAAATATTACAATTTGGCTAAATTATAGCCACAGAACCTTTTCATATATTAAAATAGTTACCTAGTTACATGCATGCAGCATACTAATATTGAAATTATGTATTATTAAAGGTGTATTTAAAGGGGGTATCCCGAGGTCAATCTTCAAATTTACTGAATAATGAATGTCTAATGTGGAGTGGGGGAAGGTTGAAGCAAACAAGTGAGTTTATGATCAATCTATATGATAATATCTTCTTTTTTTCTATTTATTTAAAAAACGATTTATATTACAATACAGGTATTTAATGTTGAATACAATAAACAAAAGAAATAATAATACTCGTATATTTTAGAGGAAATAGCAGAATTATTTGAAAGGCACCCAATAATCCTACCCGATAATGATATCATACATATAAAAGAATATTGTGAGGACAACCCCTTCTTTAGAAAAAAATAAATGAAATACGAAATACTTAATTAAAAGTTCTGTTGATAATATGATAATACATATCATATTGATACAAACACTATTGATAAACATGATTGTCATATTTATTATTATTAAACAATTATCACAGGGTATTAAAAATCGCGGGAAATCACTAAGCCAGCAAGGGTTTGAAAAGTTACCGTATCTTATTGACAATATTTTAATCGGTATTATATCAATTGATGTATCTGCAAATCTAAGAAAATTTGAAACGTTTTTATTATATTTGATACAAACCAAAATCGACTAAAGTTTAAATTTACAATATATTTAAATTACTATTATTTTAATTGTAATTTATACGAATCTTCATTTCTTTTAAAATCGTATCGTATCATTTGAAATTTCATTTCCGTACTCGACAAGCAAAAGAAAATATAATTATTTTCGTCAAAATTTGATTATAAAACTCTCCTTAAAAAAAATAATAGTAAATACATTCGATTCTTTTTTTTACCACTAAGTATAACTTACAATGTATTTTATGTTAAATTATTAAACATTTCTCTGAAGTCATATAATTTTAATAACAGTCAACTACCAAATAAAAATTATGTGAAAAATTTAAACGTCTAAAAATACCTAAAAAATGGTTCAAATGTTTTGAAGATTTTACCACGTCTAGATAAGGCAAATATAAGTTTTCTGTCCAAATTTCAAGTCGCCAAAAATATTTCAAGCTTATTTAGGTACAATAAAAAAACCAAATTGAAAATCATTTTTTATCCCTTCCTATAGTGGCGTATATATGGGGAAGGGGCTAAGCCCGAGCCAATAGTGAAATTTTAGATTCAATTAAAACATTTTATGCATTTAGGGTGAAGTAAGGTATTTCCGTGATAAAGGTAATTTCGTGAATTTCAATATTTACTGATAATAAGCAATTTACGTATACTGCATGCACTCGACGAATGTATATCAACCAACAGTGAATAGTACTATACCGACAGTACTATACCTTGTGTAACACTTGACGCTATGCAGATGTTTACCGGTGAATAGGTTTATTTGTTACAAACACTCAAAGAAATATCATGAAATTAAATATATCTCGAACATTCCTTTCTTACCCTATTATCTACATAATAATATATGCTATAAATTATAGTCATTAATTATATTACATAACCGTCAAAGCATCAACTATGGCCCGTAATTGTTTTACAATTTTTAGTTTGTTGCTTTGAGCTTTAATATTTTTTAGATTGAAAACCTGGTTACAGGTAAAAATGGGCAAAGAAAGGTTGGCTGGTTTGGCGCTTCAACACGTTCATAAAGATATAAAATTATATGTGAATATTATGAACAGATTTGCTAAAGAAAAAAAAAGATCTATGGATTTAATTTTATAAATGCATGAGCTCTTCATTTCAATTAAACTAACTATAATATTTTGAACTAAATTACAAATATTTATATTAATTGTCTTAGGTGTTTTGTCAAAATTTAATTTAATTAAATCTGAACAGGTTCAGGCTTAATTTGTGTAAAATGTACCACCTCTCTCATTATTTAAATAAATAAGTTGTAACACATTTTATAGATAATTGAGTATATCAATAATAAAAAAAATTTAACATAAGATTTACTTAATGAAAAAAAATTATCAGTTAGTTTTTTATTAAAGGTTGATTTTTCAGGTTTGCCAATTACTATTACATATACAAATATAGTTTATCAGGATAACAAGTTATTATGTGTTTTGTAAGTAGTTGTATTACAGACCAGGCAGCCATTGAATACTTGAATACTCATTACAAAATGCAGTTAACATTAGATCTGAATCCATGATAATTTGTCATAGTTTGGCTGTTACATTCCATATTTCAATTACAAACTTATAAATGCATTAGATAATATACCGATGTGTAGTTAATACACTAAAAAAAATAAATAAAACTATTTATTAACTTACAAATACAATGTAATTTTAGCTTGTGTGTTGTAAAACAATATTTATAATGAACACAGATAAAGTTAAACATTTTAAAATTTTTTTTTCATTCAGACATTATGAATTGCAAGATTATTAAGACTAAATTTGTATCAAACCAAAAAAATCTAAACATTAATCTCAAATAAAATAGTATATATTACCAGACATTCAATTTTCAAAAACTAATATATAAATGTATTTTATAACACTAGTAGTAAGTTATTTTATTATTTTACTTTTAGTTATAATTAAGATTGTTATATTTTTCAAATGCTCTGCTACTGAGTGCTTTAAAAAAGTACTGGACTAAATAAATACCTACAAATATTAATATAAAAGAAATAACACAGTGCAAAGATAACAATAACACTAAATTTGTCAAATAACACTAAATATTTAACTATTTTTTGTTATTCAATTTTAAAAATGAATAAACAATTTGTTTTTAAGAAAAATTCTGAGACCTTAATATTTATTTTAAAGAGTTGGGCTCTAGGCAATTGCCAAGAAATCTTGAAGAACGACAGCTACTAAATAATAATTTTTCGCTAGAACATTAGTGTATTACATTATATTCCTCATACAAAACAGAATTTTTTTATATTCAAAATTATGGTAATAATTTAAATGTTATTTTTATAATTTGTCTTTTATTGTAATTATATCACATTACATGTATATGTACATTACATTACTTTACATTACATGTAAATACATTTAAAACTCAATATCAATTTTTGTTTTACATATTAATTACAATCAAGAATCTGTTATGTGCTTTTTACATACATCTTCAAATGATAAATGTGTTATAATTTTACCAGTTGCAGGTCCACTTTTGAGTTTGACATCAACACAAAAATTATCTTGATCTAATTTTATTAGTTCTGCTTCTTGTCCTACGTGCACACCATTCACTACCAGTACTCTACCACCAATATTTGGTATAACTGTTTCAACATGATTTTGATCTAGTTTTAATTTAATTTTTGGTTCAAACAATTTTACCATACAACCATATTTGTCCATTACTTTAATAACAATACCTTTTTTCCCTGTATATTCTTGACCCAAAGTTTTTGTGGTTACTTTCACTACAATATTTTCTAGTAGCCAGTAGTCTTTTCTCATGTAATTCTTTTTTTTAGTTTCCTCTTGAATTATTTCTTCAAGAGCTGATAGTTTTCGTTTCTCAGATCTACGACTAGAACTTTTAGATGTTATAGACATGCGGTCTGAACTTGCTGTACTTAATACATTTTTAATTGGTGCAACAGTTGGTTTTTTAAATATATCCATTTTTAAATTTAATGATAATTTACTATCTTCTTCCCTAACAAATTCTTTAAGAATATCATTATCTTCTGTTGTTTTCTCAGCAGATTCTTTTTTTTTGCCATCTCGTATTTGACGTTGCAAAAATTCCATTTCACGTTCCTTTTCGTCCTTTTCAGCTTTTTCTTTTTTTCTCATTTTTTCTTCTAGTTCAATTGTAGCTGGATCACGGTCTACATAGGTAATATACCATCCTTCATCTGTATCATCTACAACACATTTACCTGAAAATAAAATATATATATGTACCTATATTATGTAAATTAAAATTAATAATAGTTAATAGTTAATAGTTGCTTATTATATGTATACCTATATATACGTATAAATTATAAGTTAAAATTATGTAATTTATAACACATTGATTGTGGATATAACCTTTTGGGTTGGATAGATATCACCAATTATTATTATATATCTATATTCAAGTACCTGTTTTCCCAAGCCATTTAACAAATCCAGTTAATGTTGTCCATTGAGTGGCATTCATGTGTAGATGATTGCGATCAGAAATATATTCTTGGTAAACTTTGTTTGCTTTCACTCTTTTAGTACCAAATTGTCTTTTTAACAGAAACAGAAATCCTTTGGAAAATTCATAACTAAATTCACTTAGATACCGCCCAGCATTGTCAGCAAATAATAGTAGTTGTCGTTGATGTGATTCGGACATTGTGTGACATTTGAAGCCATTTTCATCACGACACTGTTTGTTGCACATTTGGCAAAACCATCTCAACTTCTGTAATCCCTTTGATTTGATCTTATTTGCTATGTATTTGGGGGTGCCTGGTTCTGCACGACCCTTACCCATTTTTAACTTCACTAACAACAATGTTGTAATTAAAAATTTAAAGTAGGTAATTATAAGAACTAGTATAATATTAACACTATTAACTAATAAGTATTAACAGAGGCTTGACAATGGACACTGATGAATGATAACAAATGCTATGAACGATAACCATAGATAATGTATATGGCTCACGGACAAAATATAATGGATATTCCACTAGCAATATTTGATAAGAGAGCCCAGTGATTCCCAAAATGCGTAATAATCGCAGTGGTAAAAGGTGGTAAATAGGCAATAAATATGTAGAAGTGGACGATATGAAGTCAATTTGAGGACTACAAGGAAGGTACTTAAAAGAGGTCATTTTTATAATTTCTCTGGAGTTGTTTTTATCAAATTTGAAAAACCCGAATAAAACCGGGAAATACGTGGGAAAACTGGGAAAATCGGTACAACATTTAACAAATATTATTAAGGAAAATATATAAAACCTATTTTATTATAAAATGACACATACTAGGTGATTTATTTAAGTGGGTACACTCATTATCTAGGATAGTATTAACTTTTTCCAGAATTTGTTTTCTAAAACATTTAAGAAACAAGTTGTTTTACAAATTTATATTTATGTTATTTTTTGTCACCTTTAGTTTTGGGGGTAAAAGAACTACCTACGTTTGAATTTCAAATAGCAACATAAATTAAAAAGAACATAAATAGATTGAGTATTAATTAAAATAATTTTTAGTGTTAACATTTTTTATTTCGTCGATCCGTTGACGAGATATTACACTTTTTAGTTTGTTTTAGTGGAGAAGAGTAGTGGAATATCTTGTGTGTGGCGTGTTACTAATGCACCATTATTCTCCTTATAAGTTAAACTTATAAGTAGAATATCTCGTCAACGAATCCACGAAAATAAAAAAAGTAAATACTAAAATTTATTTTAACTAATACTCAATCTATTTATGAATTTATTTTAATTCATTTAAAATATATTATAATTGGATAGTTTTTAATTCTTGGTAATAAGTATTATATAAATTGTATACAAATTAATTGTATTGTATTTTGTTGTTAACGAACGGCTGTTATTATAATAATTTATGTATTTAGGCCTGGTTCGTTTAAAATTTAAATAAATAATTAAACACAAAAAATAAACAAATATTATTAAACAAAATATATAAAGCCTATTTAATCTTTTTTTTTTTAGTAAATAATGACATAAATATTTTTGAAAAATCATCAATATCAACTGAACTCCACCCAGAAACGTTTTGTCATAAGCAATTTTTCATTTCCTTATCTGTGTGTAACTTTTTTACCAAAAGACTAGTTCAGATTTCTACGTGTAGCACTTTTATGAAAGGAAATTTTCGTAGGGAGGAACATATCAACGATATCATTACCAGTTCTTACAGGCGAAATTAATATTACGTTCTTATCTAACCTATGTCAGGTACTATACATTAACATAGCCGCCCGAAATGACTACCTGTACAACGACCGGGTATACTACGCTTTGGCGGGTACCCACCACAACGCCTAAATTCTTATCCACTGTTATAAATTACAAGTTTTTTATCTTATCAACGATATGATTACCAAATTCCTATCGGCGAAAATAATTATAAGATTTTATCTAACTTATACCAGGTACTATACTTTTACATTGCGGCCCGAATTGTCTACTTCATTATCGACATATATTTTCGCCCTTCCCATTTATCAAAATATTATTCTTTCCTACTTGCACCACATTATCGACCTATTTAGCCAATTCTCCCATTGAATAAATTATTTCATTATCAGCTACTAACTCGACAAAGCTACATTGTCATTATATACATACTGTTATCACATACCTACCGACGAAAATAATATAAACTATAGTTTTCAATGCATTTTAATGTATACTATTTATCAGTTATTATCAAAGTGTATTATAACAAAGGATTTTTATTCGATAAGACGTTCGAACTATGAGTCATGTCAGAACTTGTATCTTTCCCCACCAAAACAGTATATAAAATGTAATTTATACGTTATTATCTAATCTTTCCTGGGTGCTAAACCTTAAAATGGCCGCCCGAAATTTTTACTTGTCATTCGACCGTATAACCCACCCCCAATTTTATGTACATTGTTATGTATTATCAGTTCTTTTCTCATTTCAACGATATATTTATCAAATTCTTATCAGCGACAATAATTCTACGTTTTTGTAACATACTCCGGAGTAGTATAAATATGCCGGTTCTGGTGCAGCTTGATATTTTTCACTTTAAAACTAATTTCTGATCTATATTTACATTGTTTTTATTTCTTGTCTTTTTTATATGCATAAAATAAAAAAATAAATTATAAACAAATATTTAAAAATAATAATAAAAACAATTTACATAAACATTGCACTAAGAACAGTTCTCTTTACGGTGGCCGCCGTGTATATGATTGGATTGAGAAAACTATTGCAAACTTTTCCTTATTTTTTTATTTTTTTGAACATTAGTTAAAAAAAAACATTTTCTATAATAAATAAAAGCTTAAAAATTAAATTAAATAGTGTCACCTTTAATTATAAATTCATTAAATTAAGTGATTTGGAAATTGATCAGAAATATTTATGCAAATATTTTAGTATTGATAAAACAAGATATGGTGACAAATTAAATGTTATTTTAGATAATAAATTTAAATAATTTTTACCTGACAGATTTTTAAATAATTTTTCTCATAAAGAAATTGAAACATTCAATAAAAACACACAAGAGCAAATCTTTTTGGTTCTTAAAGGTGTAAAACAACTTAATAATAATAAAATATTTTATTTGATTGAATTTGAATAGTTAAACCATATTTTATGTGTATTCTTTTTAGTACACATTTTTAAATTTATTTTAAATTAAAAAAAAATATTATTTATAATAAATGAGAATAATAAAAATAAAAAACGGATTCATAAGGTTAGAAAATCCTATATTTGGAGATAATTTATTTGTTTGTGTTTTAGGCTTAAGTATTACTTCTAATTTAATAAAAATTGAATCAGATTGTTTATTAAAAGTTGAACGCAATATAATTGAATTTAAATCTAGAAAATATACTGTAGATAAATTAAATAAAATTGTTAAACCATAAATAATTTCTATAGAAAGGGATAAAATTAATATCAAATCTAATGTTTTTTTTAAACTAGGCGAAAAGTTAAATAAATATTTTGGTTTTGATCTTGAAAAAGATATGTATTTTAACTCAATGAAAAATACTATAGCTGGATATTTTCCATTAAAATTTAAATTACCTAATCCGGAAGATGAGATTATACAAATTAATCAAGAATGTAAATTTGTTATTAGAAGAAACGAACATATACCAACGAGTACATTAAGAGTTGGATTGTATTCATTAAAATTTCTTGAAAAAATATTTAATAGTTACCCAGAAAAAAGTCTAAATAAAACCACAAAAGTTATACTTGAAAACGGATTGTTAAAAATATCATCTCCATTTAATATTGGGATTGATTCATATTTATCTGATTGTCTAGGTTTTGAATATAAAATAAATTATAGCAATGTTACAAAATATTCAATATTATTCGGTTATAGATGGTCTACTCAAGAAGATATGTGATTTATGCATGAATGTAAAAGATTCCAGGACTCCATCACCAGTCATCTACAACAAATTCAAAACATTTTTTCTTAACTATCAAGAACTATAATTTATTTACAACGTAATTTGTTCATAATAAAGAACAAAAGAGTACCTCTTTGTGTAAATTAGAACTTGAATAATTCAAGTTTTTTAAAAGTTGGTAAGTTTTTTAAAAGTTACCATCAAAGATATTTATCAAACAAAAAAATAGAAATAAGAATCTAAATGATAGTTTCAATTTATACCCGAAAATGGCCGCCAGAAATTTTTTCCTGATATTCGACCCTATAACCACGCCCAATGTCGTATCCGACGTAATATATCGTAAGTTCATCTCCAAAATCACCCCATATGATAACAAAATTCATATCGGCGACAATAATTCTACAATTCATCGATATTATGCAATTAGGTATTCTAAAGTGTACCTGTCCGCATCTCGAACCTCATTAACGCCACTTAATTTTGCTTTTTTCGTTTAAAAGTGTTTATTTTATACACGAACTCGTTATCGTTCCATATTTCATACGCTCTGTTCGATTAAATTATTTTTNCCCCATATGATAGCAAAATTTATATCAGCGACAACAATTCTACAATTTATTAATATTATGCCAGTAGGTATTCGAAAGTGTACCAGACCGCATCTCGAACCTCATTAACGCCACTTTATTTTGCTTTTTTCGTTTAAAAGTGTTTATTTTATACAGGAACTCGTTATCGTTCCATATTTCATACGCTCTTTTAGAGAAAATTATTTTTCGAGTCATTATCAGATACTTATTCGACAAACACACTATGGTATTATTAATTTACCGTTAAACACTCCTACTTCGTTTTCATATACGTTTGATTACTATTCGCCTTGGCTCGTTCGTGTTTCTCCGTATACTCTACACGACATATTCATCTCGTGAGCATATATTTTTACGCAATTATTTTTTTTCCTATTCAATTTATGGTACGAAAGTGTTAGATTACCTTATTAAATAACTTATTACGTCATTTTTAGTCGTATTTGAAGCTTTCGGTGAAAAAATTGAAAATTATTGTTTTTATTCGATAAGACGATCGAACTATGAGTCATATCAGAACTTGTCTCTTCCCCCACACAAAACTGTAGATATTGTGTTGAAATACGTAATTATCTAATCTTTTCCGTGTACTATACCCGAAAATGGCAGCCGGAAATTTTTTCATGATATTCGACCCTATAACCACTTCCAATGTCTTATCCGACGTAATATATTGTAAGTTCTTATCCCATATCACCCCATATGATAGCAAAATTCATATCAGCGACAACAATTCTACAATTTATTAATATTATGCCAGTAGGTATTCGAAAGTGTACCTGTCCGCATCTCGAACCTCATTAACGCCACTTTATTTTGCTATTTTCGTTTAAAAGTGTTTATTTTATTCACGAACTCGTTATCGTTCCAAATTTCATACGCTCTGTTCGATTAAATTATTTTTCGAGTCATTATCAGATACTTATTCGACAAACACACTATGGTATTATTAATTTACCGTTAAACACTCCTACTTCGTTTTCATATACGTTTGATTACTATTCGCCTTGGCTCGTTCGTGTTTCTCCGTATACTCTACACGACATATTCATCTCGTGAGCATATATTTTTACGCAATTATTTTTTTTCTTATTCAATTTATGGTACGAAAGTGTTAGATTACCTTATTAAATAACTTATTACGTCATTTTTAGTCGTATTTGAAGCTTTCGGTGAAAAAATTGAAAATTATTGTTTTTATTCGATAAGACGATCGAACTATGAGTCATATCAGAACTTGTCTCTTCCCCCACACAAAACTGTAGATATTGTGTTGAAATACGTAATTATCTAATCTTTTCCGTGTACTATACCCGAAAATGGCAGCCGGAAATTTTTTCATGATATTCGACCCTATAACCACTTCCAATGTCTTATCCGACGTAATATATTGTAAGTTCTTATCCCATATCACCCCATATGATAGCAAAATTCATATCAGCGACAACAATTCTACAATTTATTAATATTATGCCAGTAGGTATTCGAAAGTGTACCAGACCGCATCTCGAACCTCAATAATGCCACTTTATTTTGCTTTTTTTGTTTAAAAGTGTTTATTTTATACACGAACTCGTTATCGTTCCAAATGTTATACGCTCTGTTCGATTAAATTATTTTTCGAGTCATTATCAGATACTTATTCGACAAACACACTATGGTATTATTAATTTACCGTTAAACACTCCTACTTCGTTTTCATATACGTTTGATTACTATTCGCCTTGGCTCGTTCGTGTTTCTCCGTATACTCTACACGACATATTCATCTCGTGAGCATATATTTTTACGCAATTATTTTTTTTCCTATTCAATTTATGGTACGAAAGTGTTAGATTACCTTATTAAATAACTTATTACGTCATTTTTAGTCGTATTTGAAGCTTTCGGTGAAAAAATTGAAAATTATTGTTTTTATTCGATAAGACGATCGAACTATGAGTCATATCAGAACTTGTCTCTTCCCCCACACAAAACTGTAGATATTGTGTTGAAATACGTAATTATCTAATCTTTTCCGTGTACTATACCCGAAAATGGCAGCCGGAAATTTTTTCATGATATTCGACCCTATAACCACTTCCAATGTCTTATCCGACGTAATATATTGTAAGTTCTTATCCCATATCACCCCATATGATAGCAAAATTCATATCAGCGACAACAATTCTACAATTTATTAATATTATGCCAGTAGGTATTCGAAAGTGTACCTGTCCGCATCTCGAACCTCATTAACGCCACTTTATTTTGCTATTTTCGTTTAAAAGTGTTTATTTTATTCACGAACTCGTTATCGTTCCAAATTTCATACGCTCTTTTAGATTAAATTATTTTTCGAGTCATTATCAGATACTTATTCGACAAACACACTATGGTATTATTAATTTACCGTTAAACACTCCTACTTCGTTTTCATATACGTTTGATTACTATTCGCCTTGGCTCGTTCGTGTTTCTCCGTATACTCTACACGACATATTCATCTCGTGAGCATATACTTTTACTCAATTATTTTCTTTCCTATTCAATTTTTAGTACGAAAGTGTTAGATTACCTTATTAAATAACTTATTACGTCATTTTTAGTCGTATTTGATGCTTTCAGTGAAAAAATTGAAAATTATTGTTTTTATTTCGTATA